GGAGGGCAGCACGTGACAGGCGGGAGTGGCCGGGCGTGTTGTGCGTGGAGCTCGAGCTCATCAGTCACCGTCTCTCATTGCCCGGATACACGAGCTGGGGTAAAATGCCCGCTATTACACGGCTCGGGTTTCAAAGGACATTGCTAGCCTCGTACGACGTACGGTTCAGTGACGCGAATCGATGTCGTGTTTCCGTATTTCCACGAAACACCGCGTCTCCCTGGCCCCCGATTCTGAAAGCTAGGGAAACCGCAACACCCTTGACCTGATATCTTTAGAGATGGAGTTCTATTATGATGATCAGGTTAAGAGTGTGAAGAGCTTCGGACGTGCAGCGTCGAGTGCGGGGCGTCAAGAGCGTCGAACGTGAAGCGTTGAGCGTGAGGCGTTCAAAGCGGGAGCACTCATGTGGATGACTGCGCGCACCAACATCCGTCGAAGCACTTCTCACACACTCCTGTTCATGGCGCGTCGCTGCGCCAGGCCGCGCGCGGCTCGGCGCACCGGCGCGCATATGCCGGTGCGCCGAGCGACGCCCGCACCAGCCAAGCGCGCTTCACAGCAGTGCGCCGTTATCGCCGCCGCTCGCAGGCCAGCGCGCCGGCCCGCTGACGGATGACCAGAGCTCACGGGCGCGCGCCGGCTACACGGCTGAGTGACGCCCATCCGTCCGACCTCTGAGGTTCGTCGCGACGGGCGGTGCTGCCCCTCCAGCGTCGCCCGCTCCGCCCGCCCCGGCAGGAGCACCCGGGCGTGACGGAGAGGAGGGAAGAGGGGGGGGGGGGGGGGGGGGGGGGAGGGGCGCGGTGCGCCGCTCTGGACGTCGGTCATGGGCGTGTTCGTTGCGGTGAGACATCTTTCGCGGACGCAGCAGCGTGTTCGCAGTTAACCGGCGAGAGGTCTGAGCCTACGAGGCAATGACAAGCAGGTCTCGTGACGTCACAGCGAGGTGACCGGCTACCATCGATCGAAATAGCGACAACGGCCACCGCCTTGTCTTCGCAACCGGCTGTCATTTCGCCACCGATGTATAGCTGGTCAGGAGTCGATAAATGTGTTATGAAGAACGTAGAGGGGCTGCGAACATGAATCGGCGACCGGTGACGTCACGACAGGACGTAATGAGCCGTCCCATTGGTCAGCTCCTGCCGCCACTCACTGGCGACAGCCGTGACGCAGATGTGACGTCACAGCCGCTGCCAGACAGCAGGATTGGCACTGCACGAGATGGGACGCCTCGGGGTCTCTCAGCGTGATGAGAAGCGCCGTGACTTGACCGGGCGTGCTCCTCGCACTCAGGGTGCACTAGCGCGTGAACGATGCTGCGCCGCAAAAATGGATTACGTTCGGGTGGCGCCGCGCAGCCCCAGCCAGCTTCGGTGCCCCGAGGGAATGCGCGCATTTCGGCGGCAATTCATTAGGGATGTGGCGTAATTAGCTTTTGCCAGCTCAGCGGCAAGCATCTGACGTTCAGCCGGGGTCGTGTCGAGAAATATTTTAAGCTTCTTCCATATTTTAAGCTTCACTTTTGCTGGGTTGGGTGGCGCAAGAGTTTAGTTTGCTTTAGTTTGTTTAGTTTAGTTTAGTTTAGTTTAGTTTAGTTTAGTTGCTTTAGTTTGTCGCCGGAGCTCGCGAGTTTTGTCCGGGGCATCCTCCCGACTAGGTGCATTCTGAAGCGAAAACAAAGCCCGCTAAGTGACCCATTGTCCGACGCCCTGCAGCTGCTCAAACGAGTCTAGCTCCATATTAAACGATGCAATCTTGAAGAGAACTAGTTGCCACGTCATGTGTTATGATCCATATCATGCATCACATTTTGGGTTGGCCACTCATCTAGGCAAGTCATTTTATCCACTTTTGCAGTCTCATTGATTCAAAACTTCAGTGAGGATGCAGCGCTCGTAACGTGACTTATTGCACAACGCTGCAGTTACTAGTCCAACGAGTTTGCATGGTTCTGAGAAGATGCCATTTCGAAAAAGGAACGTGCTGCGGTGTTATGTGTGGTGTTAACCGTGATATGTGGTGTTAACAGCAGGCGAAATATACAACTTTTCTGTGGATGTCACCTACATTATGTCCGGACCTTTTGGGCCCAGGCAGGCAACAAACTCATATTTCGCATGAGGCGTGTGGCGAAGCACAGGAAGAACGATCAAAAGAAGGCTAACTTTACTCTAGAGCTTCATTCATTTCTGAACTTTCACCCCTGCACGGATAGCGGAGAAGACCGCAGGCTGAGTCTCTTACCAGAACTACGATACGATCTTTAACTGGAGCAGCTCGACCAGCCGTCCCTCTTCCTGGAAGCTGATACCTCTGCAATCACCGACAGCAGATTCGCGCAGTTTCAGCAACAAAAAGTGGATTTCATTAAGGAGTTGTGCTGCGTAAGGTGTTGGTCATTTGCATGCAGACTGATCAGGCGTTTCCCGCGCCATTACTATATCACCCTCGACACTTTCCTCATTTGATTAACTTTTTCGATAGACGACCTGATTTGGTAGGGACGGTGAAATTTCAAACCGTGAAAAAGCTGGAGAACGCGGGTCAAAACCGGATCCAAACCTCGACAGGATAATGCCATTGCGACACGGAACCAACGAGTACCAACGGAGGAGGCGACAGACCATCGCACTGGGGAGACCGTCAGTGCTTGGTGCGCGCGTTTTTGTGCGCCAACTGTGCATCCGCCCGTCCTCGAACGTTCTTTTAAGTTCTGCTGTCAGACCGTACATCAGTCAGATGTCAGATTCGAGGAGATGGCGACGTGAAATCAGCTGCTCGGTGAAGCCGAATGTACCGGCCCCAGCTCAACAACAGATCTGAAGCATATCCCACACGCAGGTGTGCCTGCAGTCGACCACTAAGCGGCCAGTGCCATCTACTCTGAAACGTAACTGGAATGCGAGGTATTTTTGCCTGCACCGAGCGATATTTGACTACGGTAACTGTGCAGGATTGTAGTCTATTCATTGTGACCAATTAACTCTGGACATATTTGCGTTTCTCGTAATACTATGGTAACAACCACCAGAACCGTAAATTATTCCAAAGTGATCGACATCGTTGGTTAAACTCGCTACCCTAGCCGGTCGCTCATTGATCAAATCGATCGGTATCGATAACGCAAGGCGTCTCGCTCATTAGCTTAGTTTTTGGTATCATCTACATGACAACAACTGACACTCGTCAGTTAGCACATGCGCCATCGCCATACTCGCCCCGCGCCGCTCAAGGCTCCCCGGCGTTTCATGTTCCGATCCAACCAAGTGCGATCCTCCGCTGCGACGGAGGCAGGCTCATGAGTCGAACAGCACGGAAGCTTCCGCTGCGAGCGCGGCCACTGCGGCGCGGTGTGACTCGCCAGCACTGTCCCAATCGCACAAATATTTGTGGCTGCTCCCGGCACTGATCGTTGGCGCCGACAGGTGCGTCGTTAGAGGGCCAACAGACCCGCGGGTTGACAGGGAGGGCACTCTTCTGACGCCGCAGCGATGACGGCTGCGCCGCCCTTGCGCCATCGGTCATCGCGCCGGCGATAACGGTGCGCGCAGTTGACTGTGCGCTGCTCAAAAGGCCGCTAGAATCAACAGGCGGGGCAGATGCAAGGAGGGGGGAGGGGAGGAGAGGGGGGGACGCGGGACACGTTGGGTCATGCTACTCCGAGATGGTGGAGAACACGGAGCTTTGCGCTATTGTTCTTCTATGATTTTGACCATTTGGCACCAGGCTACGAAATAAGCCTATAACATCCGGACTTCCGCTTCTTCCATGATCTGATGCTGAATCCACCCTTGTCAACAGGGGGCAGCCAGACCGGTCCACGGCGGTCACGGCTACGCCACTCCTCCCGAACTCGTACTCCTTCAGCAGAGCCGTTGTGACGTCATAGCTGGTGCCACAGAACGCCATACAAATTACCTATGACCGCTGTAAAGGCTGGTGGCAGGCGTAAGCTTTTGTTTTAATTTGGCAGCCCTTCTTTACCCATCAAGTGCGTCGCATTTTCCATTTCGCCTATGGAGCCACGAGAACCTAATGGACGTGTACCAGGATATGCCGCCAAGGCCGAGGACAGCGCCTTGAACTTGATCTGATCTGAATCGAGAGTGATCTGAAACTGATCCGAGTCGAGAGTTTCCTTTGTCATCGTGCATACGCTGCACAAATTTCGCTGCCTCGGTGCATATGTACTTGTCCGCGTACAGTCATTGGCGGGGGGCTGTCAGCGGCTGTCCGCAGCGAGCTTTCCCAATGACGTCAAACAGATACTTAAATGAAAATATAAATGTTCGATAGTTGGCGAGCAGCTGGCGAGCCTTTGCTCTGCCATGACTCGTGAATGGTCAGCGCGGCATTTACAGCGTCGACGACCTTGTGCCGCCAACGAGAGGAACAATGGGACGGCATTGAGATGATGTGCTGGACCGCAGCGGCGCACCGGACGGGGAGAGGCTGGGTGGCGGGCGTAGCATATTTTATCGAATGGGGGGGCCTCGGTAAATCATGTCTGCGGCCATTGTCGTCGGCGCTACCGCGATGTGCGTCTGGCGTGGCTGGTTTTACGTCCATGCAGTAATGTGATGAAAAATGCGGTGGCAAGGTTCGTCACGTTCAGTTCAAACGTGAGGCGAGATGGTCATGATTATACTGCGCAACCGGTTTTTCGGACCCGTCTCGGGTTCGCCGTCAGATGGTGCAGAGAGTCCACTTACAACAGAGACCGCGATCAACGCGCGCTGTTGTAAACGTTACAATTCTCAACGTTTTAGTCTATGAACTGTCCCAATACAGATGCAGTGTGGTGTCTGCCTGCCTCTGGGGGGCTTCCTCCTACGGAATCGTAGTCTGACATTTGAGCAGGTGAAATGTGCATGCTGATAATAACCCTATGCGCCAGGGTCGCGAGCATCGACTCTGACGTGTTGCCGTTGCTTGCCACTGTCGGACAGTGTGTTCGACCTCTTGCATCGCTAATACTGTGCTGCCTGTTCCAGTGAGGCGTCTGCTGTCGCTAGGAGTTGACCCCAACTCAACCAACGAGGACGGTCTGACCGCCCTGCACCAGGTCAGTACACAGCAGACTTTGTCAAGAGACGCAGCCTGAGGCTGAGATTGCGGCTGTGGCTGCGGCTGCGGCTGAAGCTGAGGCTGCGGCTGCGGCTGCGGCTGCGGCTGCGGCTGCGGCTGCGGCTGAAGCTGAGGCTGCGGCTGCGGCTGCGGCTGCGGCTGCGGCTGAAGCTGAGGCTGCGGCTGCGGCTGCGGCTGCGGCTGAGGCTGCGGCTGCGGCTGAAGCTGAGGCTGCGGCTGCGGCTGCGGCTGCGGCTGAGGCTGCGGCTGCGGCTGCGGCTGCGGCTGCGGCTGCGGCTGAAGCTGAGGCTGCGGCTGCGGCTGCGGCTGAGGCTGCGGCTGCGGCTGCGGCTGCGGCTGCGGCTGCGGCTGCGGCTGCGGCTGCGGCTGCGGCTGCGGCTGAGGCTGAGGCTGCGGCTGAGGCTGAGGCTGCGGCTGAGGCTGCGGCTGCGGCTGAGGCTGAGGCTGAGGCTGAGGCTGAGGCTGAGGCTGCGGCTGAGGCTGAGGCTGAGGCTGCGGCTGCGGCTGCGGCTGCGGCTGCGGCTGCGGCTGCGGCTGAGGCTGCGGCTGCGGCTGCGGCTGCGGCTGCGGCTGAGGCTGAGGCTGAGGCTGAGGCTGAGGCTGAGGCTGCGGCGCGGCTGAGGCTGCGGCTGCGGCTGCGGCTGCGGCTGCGGCTGCGGGTGCGGCTGCGGCTGAGGCTGAGGCTGAGGCTGAGATTGCGGCTGCGGCTGCGGCTGCGGCTGAAGCTGAGGCTGCGGCTGCGGCTGCGGCTGCGGCTGAGGCTGAGGCTGAGGCTGAGGCTGAGGCTGCGGCTGCGGCTGCGGCTGCGGCTGCGGCTGCGGCTGCGGCTGCGGCTGCGGCTGCGGCTGAGGCTGAGGCTGAGGCTGAGGCTGAGGCTGAGGCTGAGGCTGAGGCTGCGGCGCGGCTGAGGCTGTGGCTGCGGCTGCGGGTGCGGCTGCGGCTGAGGCTGAGGCTGAGGCTGAGGCTGATGGCGAACCTGAGGCTGAGGCTCAAGCTGCAGCTGAACCTGAGGCGGAGGCTGCAGCTGCGGCTGAAGGCAGGCATCTGATTGGTCTGCCAACGCACCGTGGACATTACTCCACAGTCCGGGGCTCTGCATTTTGTTTGGCACGACTGCGCCTCGAATTCTCCGATGATTGACTTAACCCATCAAAGCCAGTCAGTTTTTACGACGGATTATCGAATGAACTTGGGAAGTCGCTGCTCTCACTTACATTACAGGCGTTTCCTGTGCTAATTCCTCCAAAGGAAGCTGATCTTTATTTTAATCGCCTTTCTATAGCAAGCTCTCTTTCATGTTTAAGCTAAACAGTTTTCTCCATTATAGTAAGTTCCCTGCCCCGCGGCATGTAAGGGATAGTCCAGGGCGAGAAATCATCACAAACAATGATCATAGAAAAAAGGAGGTTAAAAATGGGGAATAGCGATCAGACGGTCGCCATCAAAGGTTCTCCCCCGGCCAAAGAAGCACGCGCAAGGCATTTGTTCCTCGATCCGGATTAAGTGTGTGTTGTTGCTAGGAACATAGAGGTAATCCCATGATTCCCTGGGCCGTGAAAAAGCGATGTCCTGATATCCTGAGCGACGGAGGCGGGGCCTCTCCACTCCCGCGACCGCACGACTCTTCAAACCCGCTTGGCCCGTGGGGAACTGTTATATAAACCCTCAAGCTCCCACCAGACCGAACCCGCGCTTGACGACGACTGCCGTGCACGCGATGCCCGGTGATCGAGGTTCGAGTGCTGCCGGACACGCACACCGTCTCGCCACCCGTGCCATTTCCGATGGGATCCTCTGGGCTCATGCGGTCACGGCTCTCGCGACAAACTGCATTAGTGATGACCTTGATCCCAAAGGCATCCATGGAAATGCCGGGGCAAATTTCCATAACAAGTTATCGCTCGCGGCGAGATAGTTATAATCACTGCGCCCCTGTAACGACCAATATTCTGTTGCACTCAAGTATAGTGAAAAGTGGGGTTAAAATGGAGATGCTACAAGGCTCTGGGTAAAACGATCTCTGTTTCAAATGTCGATGCGAAAGGGTTTGGTTAGGTCGAGGTAAGTTTCGGTTTTGCCCGTCGCCTAGGACGTGGGAAGAGGTGGAGCATCTGCAGCTTTCTTCAATTTTGGGAACCGTTGGTCGCTAAACTTGTGTTGTTGCACGGTAAAAAACCGATACAAGTCGTCGTTACTTACTTTCCACCCGCAATTTCGTAAGTTTCTTTACCCCTAGTCGTGCTGTCTGTATGGTGGCCTCGGTTTTGGACTGTCCATCTGTCTCTTGTCTCATGCCATTTGACGGCCTACTCGCGGCTAACCCAGAACGATTAATTTTCTCACTCGAATCCCATTGTTCATTGTCCTGGGCCAGCTCATCAATTACCGAACTTCAGATCCCAACGACACGCACCACAGATGGGGAAAAGTTCGTGAGGGAAGGCCGACAGTGCCAGTCTGCCCCACCACTCCAATCCACTTTCGCCTCGGCGTCCGTCCCAGCACACCAGCCGAGAGGGTGAGCTCCAGCGCCAGAACCCCTAATTCCCGCAGCGGCGTTTGGTCTGGCCAGTGGCGCTCTGCGAGCTGGCCTGAAGACTCGGAGGCCGTGGTGCCACCGCGTCCGCCCTCGGTCAGACACATGTGTGTGTGTTTAGGTCACGGTGAAAACAGATTCGTAAGAGGTGGAGTTAGAACCAGGGGAATTTCTGCGAGAGTGCTCCCATAGCGAACAGATATGCACGCACTTTCCCGCGAGGTATTTTCCCTGTCTTTTTCTCCGAACGGAAAAGTGCGGATAAGTACTCTTGCAGTGGGAGCACGGAAGGGGTAGGGGACAGTCTGTCCGTAGCTTCCAGTCCCTCATGGGACAGTTCGCTCGCAAGGGACAGTCGCTCACAGTCCACAGTCGAGGACTGCGAGCGGACTGAGGGACATTCCGGTCGCAAGGGACAGTCGCTCGCAGTCCACAGTCGCGCAGGAGACAGTCCGTCCGTAGTCCGCAGTCGCGCAGGGGACAGTCACTCGCAATCCGCAGTCGCGCAGGGGACAGTCGATCGCTATCCGCAGTCGCGCAGGGGACAGTCGATCGCTATCCGCGGTCGCGCAGGAGACAGTCCGTCCGTAGTCCGCAGTCGCGCAGGGGACAGTCACTCGCTATCCGCAGTCGCGCAGGGGACAGTCGATCGCTATCCGTAGTCGCGCAGGAGAGAGTCGCTCGCAATCCGTAGTCGCGCAAGGGACAGTCGCTCGCAATCCGCAGTCGCGCAAAGGACAGTCGCTCGCAGTCCACAGTCGCACATGGGACCCTACGCTCGCAATCCGCAGTCCCGCAGGGGACAGTCCGTTCGGAGGCGCGACGACGCTGAAGTTGATGAACCGGTTTGCAGTGACGTCTGCGGCGTTACCGACGTCAGATCATTGCCGGTCGCCGCCAGCGCTGGATCGATACCCGGCGACGATCCCCGCCGGGCCTTCGCCGCGAGCGTCGCCGCCACGCGGACCACCGTCCCGTCCGTCGACGCGACCCTCTGTTGCCGGGCTTTTCTTCTGGCGCGCTGACTGCTGAGCCTGCGTATTGGCGTGGTTTCTGTCGGGGTCGGTGGCTCTGTCCGACTGCGGAGCGGTCTGTTGCGTGCTGTTTGGTATGCCGCGCGTTCTGTCTGTCGTGAGCAGCGGTCTGCGACGAAGCCGCGCTTTGTGCGCCTTGTCGGAGAACGCACGCAGAGCAAGCCGCACCCGTTAGCTGGGGGGGGGGGGGGGGGAGGAGGAGGGGGTATCATGGGCAGATCTCCCTCCAACATCGGACGTCACCAAGGTCGCGTCGTTCCACCGTCCGAGGGGAGGAGGGGAGGTCCGAGGGGAGGCCTTCTGGTGACTCGTCTCGCCAGTTGTTGTGGTGGTGGGCTGAGCAGAAAGCCCAGCTCAGCTCAGCTCCCCGCCTCCCCGGTGGCACGGCTCGTGCGGTGGTGGGCTGAGCAGAAAGCCCAGCTCAGCTCTCCGCCTCCCCGGCGGCACGGCTCGTGCGGTGGTGGGCTGAGCAGCGAGCCCAGTTCAGCTCCCAGCCTCCCCGGTAAAACGGCTCGTGCGGTGGTGGGCTGAGCAGAAAACCCAGCTCAGCTCCCCGCCTCCCCGGTGGCACGGCTCGTGCGGTGGTGGGCTGAGCAGGCAGCCCAGTGCAGCCCCCAGCCCCCCCCCCCCCCGGCGACACGCTCGTGCGGTGGTGGGCTGAGGAGGGAGGCCAGTCCAGCTCCCAGTCTCCCCGGTGGCACGGCTCGTGCGGTGGTGGGCTGAGCAGGCAGCCCAGTGCAGCTCCCAGCCCCCCCCCCCCGTGGCACGCTCGTGCGGTGGTGGGGCTGAGCAGGCAGTTCAGTTCAACTCCCGCGTCCCCGATGAAACGGGACGGACGCTCTCAGCTGTAAATGAAGCCTGGAGGCTGGGTGGCGTTAGCTTAATTGCGCTGGTGTTCTTTATCTTGATATTCTTAGACAGTGGCTTCGTGCATCTCCTGTTGGATACTGATGACAGTGAATTATGGGAAGTGCAACGCCTTCTCGGATGTGAAGATTGTAAATGTGTCTCGAGTCGAGAAAGGCAAAGTTTTCACCAATTAGTCCGAGCCATAGTCATTACTAAACGCAAGGAGCCCATTTGCCGTCTAAATTGCGCGAACGGAGCGAAACCTACGCGCAAACCCTCATGCCAAAGTGGAAAACATTCATCCACACTAACTGAAGCTATCCTTTGCAAAATGAAGGGGGTCTGTTTGCTGTAATTACAAGCGAGACCGCAGGTCGGGCGAGTCTGAACGCCAACTCGATGGACATGTTGTAACTTCAGCGACTCGGACCGCACCGTGGCGCCTTTGACAAGCTTACATCCAGGCGGCCATTAGCCATGCCGCCGGGAAGCCTTCACCAATAAATAACATAATTCTTCAAAAGTGAAGCGCATTGTGTTTAAGGATTGAAATGGAAGCTTTATGATCAGGCGGCGTACTTCTGCAACTTTGCAATATCACCACCATTTAGCCTCCCATTCGTTTAGTATGGAAAATGCAAGATTTTCAAATCGCGAAGTAGCTCGAGAGCACGGCTCAGTAGCAGGTCGAGCTCACGGCGAGCAGGCCTCGCAGAGACAGGACACCACCTGCGGTGTACTGAAGAGTCACTGTCTTGGGAACCTTACAAAGTCCGCGACAGCTGGGGTCATACGCCGCCACTATTCTGTTGCCCTGGCAGGGAGACCGGGCATCGGGGGAAATCGAACCCAGTGCTGAAGGTCTGTCATGCACGCAGTATAACCGCTGCCAACTCACTAACAGCTCTCGGAACCTCGTAACCCATAGGTGCGCCAGAAATGGATCGCCAAACGGCCAATGCCAACTTTTCCAAGATATGTCTGGCATATAAGACGCTGCGACCTAAACGCAGAGAAATGGAGCCAGTAAAAACGACTCTGGTGTTGATTCCCGCCCATTTTGCCGAATGTCCACTCACAATAGTTGCGTACCTTATAATGCTCAGCTTCAGTTGCCAAGACTACAAAGCATTGCGAATTCATCCCTTGCACCGATCTCGGTTTCCAGGTCACACCAAACTAACAGCCGGGCAGTTTTTAAGCAATGTCGTTTGTGAGCCTGTGCATGGATGAGCAGGCGCGCATCTACCTCCAAACAAAGGAAAGGAACATTCCAAATCATGGATAAGTCCCCCTCCCACGCCGACTCAAAGCCGACGGTTTCCAGCGGGCAATGTGGGGATGGTGGCAGTCCGCGGTACCAGCAACCACGCCCACAATTACTTTGCCCGCCCCAAGCAGCCGGAAGCGTCTTCTGGGATTTGCAGGAAGATCACAGCGCCGGCAGTTCTGGTAATACTTATATTGCCAGTCGTGAAAGACATTACTAGTTCTCAGTGTCAGCACACGAGAACAAATAAGTCTATTCTTACTTGAGCGGCGTGAGGTTACCATAGAAGCCAGCTATCGCTCCCCGGTTATGGTTATCCTCCCAAGTGGTCGGTTTCGTGCGTTCTGCTCTGCCTAAGCTGTGGAGGGAAGACGTGGCTTAGGGGGGGGGGGGGGGGGGTCGCCCTCGCAGTACCGTCGCCGTCGCGTGCCCGGCCTACCGCGACCCGTTCAGCATTCTAGCATCCCACCGCAAAGACTGTTGCCGCCACAGCGTCTTAGACGAGTCACTGGCCCCGAGTACAGACAGAAGCTGCATCTGCATTGCCCCAAGTCGGTTTTTAAAAAACACGATTAACCGAACTGCTACATGCATTTGAGATGTGCCGACGCGACGTTTCTCAAGGCAGCTGATGCCAGTCGCAATGCATGCCTCGGAGATAATCGCACGTTCCATCAATGGAACGCTTCCCCACAACCCTGATGCTTGTGGTTGCTGATGTGGTGAGCAAAGATTCTTGTCAAGCCAGGGCTTAATGAATTACAGCTGTGCTTCACTCAACTTTTGCTGTAAATCTCAAGTTACGACAGCAGCCGTCACCATAGCTCAACAAGTGTGTTGACTGTCATCTTACACGATATTGAGGGACCTTCAGATCAAATCAATGCGGTCGTATCATCAAATACTATTCGAGCATCAATATCTGCAACGCCGAGGTGGTCTGATGATCATATATATATATATATATATATATATATATATATATATATATATATATATATATATATATATATTAGGTCTCCTTTCTGCATCACGAAGATTATGTAATAGTATTACCAAAAACCTCCGGTATCGCTAAGGTGCAGCTGATTTTGACGTATGACAAGCGGCCCAGGGTGTGATACTTGTGATGCAGCTTCGGTGAACCAAGTGACAATGGTTCCGACCAGCTTGCGAACCTGTGCAACCAGCAATGCTGTTTCGTCGCGAGCGCTTACTTATTAAGATCAGTGTGAACTCAAGCAGCGCATTACTACCAACAGGCGCCGCCGCCAGAGTATGTGCCGAGGAAAGGGTTATGCCGTTGGGCGTGAATTATCCATGGATTGCATCACCTCGTGCAAGCATTATTTATGCGTGGCAAAGTTGACGGCGAAGCAGTGCGCTTTCCTTTCAGCAGGACGTGTGCTGTTCTAGATACCATCGTTTTGTCATTTCATGACCGAGCTATATGCCCAGCTCGAAGTCTATCGGCCAGTCATTTAGCTGATGTTGTCGCCCCCCTCTCCCCTCCCCCGCCAGAATGTCCTTGACCGCGGTCGTGTGGTGGCCGACAGTGCTGCATCGACGACTCCGAGGCTATGATGGCCCTGCTGCTGGACCACGGCGCCAACGTGGACGCCAAGGACAGCGAGCGGTGGACTCCGCTGCACGCCGCCGCCACCTGCGGCCACCTCCACTTGGTCAAGCAGCTGGTGGAGCGGTGAGTTGTGTTTGAGGTGGACACGTGCGGTTGTGCGGCGCGGTGGACACCTCCGCTGGGTCGGGCAGCTGGTGGAACGGTGGGTTGTGTTTGAGGTGGACACGTGAAATTGTGCGGCGCGGTGAACACCTCCGCTGGGTCAGGCAGCTGGTGGCAGGAAGGTGTGCTTTGTGGTGGACACTTCCACCGGCCCAGCGACCTGTGTAGCGCTGAGTTGTGCTGTAGTGCAAACTCCACCTAAACTAACAACTGACGGATGATGGGGGCCTGGAGGGAGGGAGACAGTGGTGCGTGGGGGCAATTCCAATGAGTGAGGTTAAGCTTTCTCCTGGCGTGAAAACATTTTTAAGAGTTTCGGGAATTTTGCTTAAATTGTGGTGAAACTAGGATGAAATTTTGTCTTCGAGATGACTCGTTTAAGCCGGTTTGATATTTGCTGTTAGGAAATGAGGTTAATTGAAAATAATCAAAAGAAAAAAGAGACGAAATTAATAATATGTATAAATATTACATATATATATATATATATATATATATATATATATATATATATATATATATATATATATATATATATATATATATATAACTATATAACTTTTCTTAAGTGGCGTCTAGCGATCGAAAGGACTAGAACGAGATATTGACTAAACTAAACAAGTCATCGAAACTCGAAGGGGGAAATTCGATGGTCATATACCAATCGAATCCCCACAGACTAATGCGTCAGGAGGCCAATAAGATTTCACATTTTGTTCATTTTGACATATGGCCCAGGTCGTGTAGAATATGTCAGCAACATTTCTTCCAAAATTTTGAAGGTTCTCAAGCCTTTGTCACAGCAAACATTCCTGAGATGATTTACTGCTTGTCTCTACCCTTCTCTCAACCATTTATCGCTCGCTCTGCCTAACCAGAAGAAGTGACACAGAGTAGTCAGACCCTCAAGATGAATGCAATGAGGCGCATTAAGATCCAGAACCCGGGCCCAGAAACGTGATGGTCTTAAGCGGCGGCGGTAGTGGCGTCTCGTGAGCGGCCTCGTGTCTCGCGACTGGCCTCGGGTCTCGTGAGCGGCCTCGTGTCTCGCGACTGGTCTCGGGTCTCGTGAGCGGCCTCGTGTCTCGCGACTGGTCTCGGGTCTCGTGAGCGGCCTCGTGTCTCGCGACTGGCCTCGGGTCTCGTGAGCGGCCTCGTGTCTCGCGACTGGCCTCGGGTCTCGTGAGCGGCCTCGTGTCTCGTGACTGGCCTCGGGTCTCGTGAGCGGCCTCGTGTCTCGTGACCGCGCGTCTCGTGACCGGCCTCGGGCCTGGTGACCGGCCTCGCGTCTCGTGACGGCCTTGCGTCCCGCGACTGGCCTCGCGTCTCGTGACCGGCCTCGCATCTCGTGACCAGTATGCAAGGCCAGTGCTCTCGGTGGTATCATCGGCAATCAATGCACGTTATCAGGACGCATTGATTTGACCAATGCTCTGAGAGCGGTTATCGAATTATATCCCTTCCGTCGTCTAATATGGTGTTCTATCGGCGTCTAATAACCAAGTGGCCACGTTGCCGTATGTTTTGTCGCTAGTGTTTGTTTGCAGACAGAAGGGTTTTGAAAAAACGTAACTTTGAACATGTTCCAACACATGGTATCACAGCCTAATGACCCGTAAGCCATCACTGCATATTGTGGTGTGATTGGCACCGGCGTGAAGAAATCTTGGGTCAGCATGATCGTTGTTTGCTATGGCATCGTGGCTGTTGGGAGCGTGTTTGTTTTCCTGCAGTTTCTTAAGTGACAGGGCGGTAGTCTCCGAATGTCTGTGGTTCACTGGGGCCCCAGAGTAGCAGGCCAGAGAAGCAGGCCAGCAGTTTCAGTCGGCCTCCGGGAACGCCCCGACCCGACGGTGTCAAGATGATTCCATTTTCCACGCTTCACCTACTGACGAGCAATTTCGAGTTTGACATGCCAGATTCTGAAATCAAGTTTCAGAAGTCAGTTCACTTTGCATCTTCTTCCGACACGCTCCTGAAGCCTGTCGGAGCGAGATGAAAAGAGAGTTAAAGAAGGAAAGAGAGGTGAAGGAGGAGGGGAAGGGAAAACTATGGTAGTGGAAGGGAAAAGAAGTGAGACAGAGTGAGGGAAAGCGCATGAGACAGAAGGAGGAAGGGAGGAGGTGTTAGGGGGGTTGAGGTGTAGAGGCACGGGATGGCCTAAAAACCAAACCATGTCTCATAAAAATGATCTTGTTTCTGTATCGCACTCAACTGGTTCGTGTAATTCCGGGTTATTCGAAGACCCAGTTTAGCATACGCAGGAGAAAGAGAGAGAGAGAGAGAGAGAGAGAGAGAGAGAGAGAGAGAGAGAGAGAGAGAGAGAGAGAGAGAGAGAGAGAGAGAGAGAGAGAGAGAGAGAGAGAGAGAGAGAGAGAGAGAGAGAGAGAGAGAGAGAGAGAGAGAGAGAGAGAGAGAGAGAGAGAGAGAGAGAGAGAGAGAGAGAGAGAGAGAGAGAGAGAGAGAGAGAGAGAGAGAGAGAGAGAGAGAGAGAGAGAGAGAGAGAGAGAGAGAGAGAGAGAGAGAGAGAGAGAGAGAGAGAGAGAGAGAAGAGAGGAGAGAGAGAGAGAGAGAGAGAGAGAGAGAGAGAGAGAGAGAGAGAGAGAGAGAGAGAGAGAGAGAGAGAGAGAGAGAGAGAGAGAGAGAGAGAGAGAGAGAGAGAGAGAGAGAGAGAGAGAGAGAGAGAGAGAGAGAGAGAGAGAGAGAGAGAGAGAGAGAGAGATAGAGAGAGAGGAGAGAGAGGAGAGAGAGAGAGAGAGAGAAGAGAGAGAGAGAGGAGAGAGAGAGAGAGAGAGAGAGAGAGAGAGAGAGAGAGAGAGAGGAGGAGAAGAGAGGAGAGGAGAGAGAGAGAGAGAGAGAGAAGGAAGGAGAGAGAGAGAAGAGAGAGAAGAGAGGAGAGAGAGAGAAGAGAGATAGAGAAGGAGAAGAGGAGAAGGAGAGAGAGAGAGAGAGAGAGAGAGGAGAGAGAGAGAGGAGAGAGAGAGAGAGCGAGAGAGAGAGAGAGAGAGAGAGAGTCATCACCTCAGGCCGCCATCAGCGTCGCACGGCTCGCCGGGCCGTCGTTCCGCTGATAGACGGACTGCCGTCGGCCGCCGGCGCCGCGGGAGCGCGACCCGAGGTCATCCGACGCGCTGGTCCGGTGCCGCCCCTGCCGGGCCGTGACGGCCGCGGCGCCGCCCCCGCCGACACCATTAGACGGCGACGGGGCCGGCCGTGGCCGTCGGGGGTGTCGCGTGTCGTCCCCCGGAGGCAGCGGTGGCGGCGGCGGCGGCGGCGTCCGAGACGGCGCGGCGCTGGCGGGGGTGGGGGAGCGACGGGACAGGGACAGGGATAGGGACGGGGATAGGCAGAGGGAGGGGAGGGGAGGGAGAGAGAGGGAGAGAGGAAGAGGGTTGAAGGTGGTGCAACTGAGAAACGAGGAGGGACGTTTGGAACGGTAATCCATAGCAAGCAGGGTCAAACCTGGGGGTCGCAGCTGAGTCTTCTAGCGAGGAGTCATACCGCACCGCTCGTCTTATCGATGCAGCTGAAAACGCGTCGGTCAGTCCGTCGAACGTGATCGTGTCGTTAGGTACGCATCTCGGCCGCGTTTGGCTGTTTTTCCGCACTCCATGGACCTGGAGTTGTGGGCTTCCTGCTGGCATTTTGTGCCGCGGACGTTGTGATTACGTCACGGAATGCTTGTCTACGGCCGCAGGCCCGGGTAGGACCGAAGGCTGTGTCGTAAATCGCGTGCCTTTTGGACCTGGCAGATTAGGTGATGGACGTGGGACGTGTCTGCGGCGGTCGATACCTATATTTATGTCATCGACTAACGCTTAGAGCGCCACGTGCCGTTAGTGTCGCTACCAGTCTGGTCAAACATCAGCACAGGGACAGCGCAATTTATGGCGTGTGCTCTTCGGCTTTGGCGTCAACGAGCTTTGCATTATTCTATTGCTTGGGGGGCCGACAGCGCAAGCGCTCGGGCACCGTCCAGTCATGTGGAAGCCCCGCGGCCTAAATCGGCTGTAATGGGCTTGTTTGTATTCCCCAGCCTTGAGCCCGACGCCGATTGTCATCCTGGCCGGCTATGATGACGTGACACTGGGGGGCTTGTGTCATGCAAATTGGGCACTTCTCCTCAGTCAGGAGTGTAGATCGCAACACTTGAACATGGTCGTGCAGCCGTATTCGGACGCCTCTGGCGACGCTATCGGGTGGTCGTGCCGCGAGTGGGGGGCCTTGGGAGGCCCTCGGACCCACGAACAGTGCGGTCGTGTCCTGGTTGGGGTCACGTGACCTGTGCTGACTGAGAGCTGGCTGATCAATGCACAGATAGCGGGTCTCAAAGAAAAGCATGCCGTGTCGAACCACGAGACAGGTGGATGCACTTGACTCGGTTTTAAGGGGGTTAACCGACCCAAAAGCTCTAAGTGAAATTTTATATGGGTCTCGGCACACCCTCCTGATTCATAAGGCATTTTCTTCGTTGATCAAAGTTTTCCCTTACATTACAGCAATTCTGTGAAGTTTTGACCATGACGTAGCCACAATCGGAGGTACTTACCATCCGTTGGTACATACATTCTGACGACTTTTTAGACCACAACGTTATGACCGGCAACAATACGCGAAAGTGGCAGCATCTCAGGCTCCCCAGATTGGTAAAGGTTAAAACAGGTGTTCGCATTTACAATTTCCTGCGCCTTGTTCTGCGCAAAATATTTTGTCAACATTTGCACCCGTTCCCGACGCTCCGGCGCCGGCGCCGGCGACCTCGCTCGGCGCCGTCGTCGCTGGCCATATCGCTCGCCGATCGGAGTCAACCGCCCCGAGCACAGCGTGGCTCCGCTGGGGCACCTTCCAGCGTGCTCGCCGGCTTCAAGCATGAGCGGGCTGCTGGCCGCTTCGGCCGCCGCGCCTGGCCTCTGACCGCCGACCCCGCCCCCTACCGCGGCCGCGTGATGGGGCCCGCGGCTGAGACAAAGCGGTGCTGCATGTTCACGTGGCATGAGTTCCAGCGGTTTTCTCCCAATGCTAGGGGTTTTCTCCCAGTGCTAGGGGTTTTCTCCCGCCGCTCCGTGATGGTATCGGCGTACATACTAAAAGTGGGGGCGGTTTGAACCTCGCGTGACAAGTTGTTGTCGCCAAGTGTTGCCACGCGCTGAAGCTGGTAAACGGGTCGACGCTGGAGACAACAGATGCCGTTGGCTTTGGTGTGTTCGCTGCGCTGCGTTCGCAGAACGCTGCGCTACGTTACAGAAGCCAATCACATGCTCAGCATGGGTGTGCTGGCCAATCACGAGACCGGAGATGAAAAACTATTCAGCGGAAGCATCCCGTCAATCCCTCCTGTCTGGTGTTACATTTCCTTCCTATGGCTTGAAATGTAAGCCCCGGCCTGCGCAGAGCACAACAAAGGTGTTAATTAAAGCGAGGAACGTGAAGCCATCAACTGGCACGCTGCTTGTTTACAGGGGAGCCAACCTGTTAGCAGTGAACGCCGACGGCAACATGGCGTACGACATCTGTGAGGACGACACCACGCTGGAGTACATTGAGACCCAAATGGCTCGGCGGGGAGTCACACAGGAGTTGATTGGTAAGTGCCGCCGACACCACGCTGGAGTACATTGAGACCCAAATGGCTCGGCGGGGAGTCACACAGGAGTTGATTGGTAAGTGCCGCCGACACCACGCTGGAGTACATTGAGACCCAAAGGGCTCGGTGGGGAGTCATACAGGAGTTGATTGGTAAGTGCTGCCGACACTGCGCTGTAGTACATTGGGATCCAAATTACTCGGCGAGGAGACACACAGGAGTGGGTTGGTAGGTGCTGCCGACATTGCGCTGGAGTACAGGATCGTGATGTTTCGGACGAATTCTCGAAGGATTGTGTCAGTTAGGGTCACTGAGACCACGACAGAAAACTTCGATATGCAGTGACGTCTGCAATAAATCACTCAAGTGTCTATCGTCAAGTGTCACTGACACCACAGTTGGGTATATTGAGATGCGGAGGGAATCGCGCTGGAGTCGTGAAAAGATGGGTGTTATTGACAGTACATGGCGCCACTCGCACCGGTTTATTCCGGGAGATCAGTGACCATGCCCAATATCCACTCTAAACATGACTAAACACACATAAACCCCCTGGAATCCTTCTGGAGATCACCACCCCAGGACGGTTTTTGTTAACATGTATTCCAAACGTTTTCAATCTGATGGATTTCTGGGATTAGAGCTCACGCTAAGCAGTGCTTGTTGCGTGAGCCCTCAACTGTACCATCCAATCGTAAAATTCCAGACTGACGAAGTAATGTGGTGACGAAAGTTTAACGTGCCTCAATGATCGGTACGCTCAGTCCTGCCTTCTGACGTCACGTGAGCTGTAGCACGGCCGCTATCACCGACTGCCGGCTATTCCAGCCAAGGGCAAATAGGGAGTGTCTAGAGCGTCTCGAACGCACCCCGCCACGGATAGGTGGATCGGAAGGCAGGCGCTGTTACGAACTGAGCATTGTGCCCGTGAAACGTTGTACCAATCACCACCCGTTTAGTCTTTTTAGTCATCCCTGGAGACACACTACGGACACCGGCACTGCTGGCGCCGCCCCTCCTCGCCCATGACAGCACGGGTCCCGTCCCGACACCCGCACGCCTCGCGTGAACCAATCGAGACCACTTCCTGCGACCCCGACCGGCGCGGTCGTGGCCGCGGCCATCGGGCGGACGACGCCGAGGCTGGCTCGGCATCCGACGCCAAGACGGATGACCGCGCTGATATTATTCGACCGTCAGACGGCGCGTGACACACCGTCGGTCGTCGCCTCCGACGCGGAGAACTGCAGCGCCAGTCCGGCGACCGCTGATGCCGGACTGGCGGCGCTGGACGGCCGCTGTTCACATGCGTGTTACGAGGGCGTGTCGGATCGCTGGCTGGAAGGGTAATGTTGCAGGGAGCCGTGAGATTGGCAGTAGCTGATTTGGAGCTGATACACACGACATGGCGTAATGTATTCGCAATCAGTAAGCCCCGATTCGAAGCCCAGCAATGCCAGAGATTTAGGCTGTGCCGCGAACATGGATGGAACCAAGCATTCTCCAGTCCTTCTTAGAATAAAAAGACACCTAACCACGGCTGGAGAATTAATTGGCCGAATCACCGTACAGTAACACACCTTACGAGTACATTGGTCCCAACAATTATCCCATTAGTTTCCTGGACTTCCCCGTGGTTTGTGTGAGGTTAGCTGGTGCCCAGCCTACTTCAGCATCAGATGTTCGTAACAATAAAGCGACAAAACTAAGTCAAGCTCTTCAGAGCCTAGACCTGTCTGCCGGTTTGCCTCAGAAGCCTGGAAATCCGGGTTCGGGCACTATTTTGTCAGTTTCTAAAAGGTGACAATCTTACACACAGTGCCAAAATCTGTACACCAGCCGCGGCCTCCGGGGAATTGACCGGCGCCTGGCTTTCACGCGCCCCGAAGGTCCGGATAAATCTCATTTGGGCCGGAGCGCGCGCCATCGAGAGACGCCACTGGACCGTGTGATGACGGTATTGGTCGGCCGGGTAACCTGGCGCGGGCGGCCGTGACGGGGGGGGCAGTTCTCTGTGTGTCTTGGCTGGTAAGACTTGGATACGGGATAGGTTGTTCAGGTTGAAGTTGGTTTGGTTCGATTTGTTCGGCGTGTTTTGCGGAGAGATAAAGTTCACCGCACATACCAGTTTAATCCCTGCAGAACAATGGATTAGGTTGTATTTTTGTCCTTTTACGTAGCAGGCAGTCTTATATTTGTATGTTTATTTACGAGCGGGCTCCACAGTGCTTTCCATTTAATACGTAGCTGCATTCTTGCAGGCAGCCTTTCGAAACCTTCACAGTGCTTTTGAAAATTAGTATTCGCATTAATTCGTAAAGAATAGTTTATGATATCGAATGCAGAGTGCCGCAAAATCAAAGCGCTGGGAAGAAGCCGAATGGCCGCCCGATGCAGAATGAGCAGGATAAAACTGTTCCACTTAGAACATTATGTAAAATTTGATCATTTGCATTGATCCTATCTAGCATTGCATTGATCCCTAGAGTATGCCGTCGAATGAAACAAGGAAATAAACATCCAACTGCCCGCACCCCTCCACCACCGCACCCCATCCCACCCATCCCCTCCACCATCTCTTCAGAGCATCGGCTGTCACCGTTCTGGCGTTTTGAAGCAGGTGCAGCCATTTCGTGGTCGCGGTCCTCACTTTTCTCCTAGAGCATCATTACAAAGGCGAGGGTGAACCCACACCTGGCGGTCTTTTGAACGATCAAAGCTGGCGTGGAACGGCGAACGCATGCTGCCTGTCAACCGATCATCGTCAACCCCGTCCGTCCGATCGTCCGTTGGTTCGTCCGTCCATACTTCCGTCCGTCCGTCCGTCCGTCCGTCCTTACTTCCGTCCGTCCGTTGCTCCGTCCGTCCGTTCGTCCGTTGCTCCGTCCATTCGTCCGTCCGTCCGGCCAAGCACCCATACCCCATCGCCAGCTACCGTTCACGTGTGAGTGGAGGTTGGAGCGGCGCGGCTCGCTACTGATGGTCGCCGTTCAGGATCGCGCCCCTGGGCCGTTATTGGACGCCACAGCTGGTGTTGACGGCCGGTGGCGGCTCAGGCGCTGCTCCTCTCAGCTGGTTACAGCACGTCAACGTTGCTTCGGGATTTGTGCCAGACTTCTCTCCCACGCGAAATCTGCGACGGAGGCTTATCAGATAGCTTGCGCAGGCAGAACCTCATAACGATAATGGGCTGCAGTAAATGGCATATGCACATATATATATATATATATATATATATATATATATATATATATATATATATATATATATATTAATGTTCATATCAAATTTGTTGTAGTATTTTATTTCGTTATATGATAACTAAAGTATCCGTTTGTTTCGTGCAGGAATCGTAATGTCGGTGTCGACAGTGTTCATGTCATATGTGATATCCATCTGATTCGTGAAGATTTGTGATGCTTTATTCGAGCACTCACGGGAAGTGACACGTGATAACGGGCCATGTCAGCGGTGCCGTATCTCATTGGTAACGGGCAGACGACTTTGGCTTCGCAGTGGGATGAACTACTTGGGCTCTGGAGGGCTCTGGGACACCTCTGTGGGCAAAGTTTGTCCTAACTCTGGCCTGACCAGATGGTGTGGCGAACAGCATGGACCGGCGGCCCCGTCAGCGCTCCGGTCTGCGCTCCAGGCGTTTTCCCAGCGTCTGCTGCACGCAGCTCGTCTGGTCACAGACTTCCTTGGATCCGCACATTGGTCGCCTGTTCAGTGTCAAAGCCAATTGACCCACCGCGCCGCCGCCTACGACTGACGCCGTGACGTCTCGTCTCCAGAGCAGACGCGGGGCGAGATCGAGGCGGCCATGCTGGAGGACTTGAAGCAGCGGCCCATGTCGGCGCTGGAGGAGCGCGTGCAGCAGTCGGCCACGCCGGTGAGTGCTGCCCCCTCCCCCGGCCCCTGTCGGCACTGGAGGAGCGCGCGCAGCAGTTAGCCACGCCGGTGAGTGCTGCCCCCCCCCCCCCCCCAGTCCACGTCGGCGCCGGAGGTGCGCGTGCAGTAGTCTGCCACGCCGGTGAGTGCTGCCCCCTCCCCCGGTCCATGTCGGCGCCGGAGGAGCGCGTGCAGCAGTCGGCCACGCCGGTGAGTGCTGGCCCCTCCCCCGGCCCCTGTCGGCACTGGAGGAGCGCGTGCAGCAGTCGGCCACGCCGGTGAGTGCTGCCCCCTCCCCCCGGCCCTTGTCGGCGCTGGAGGAACGCGTGCAGCAGTCGGCCATGCCGGTGAGTGCTCCCCCCCCCCCCGGTCCACGTCGGCGCTGGAGGAGCGCGTGCAGCAATCGGCCACGCCGGTGAGTGCTGCCCCCTCCCCCGGCCCCTGTCGGCACTGGAGGAGCGCGTGCAGCAGTCGACCACGCCGGTGAGTGCTGCCCCCCTCCCCCTTCAGTCCACGTCGGCGCCAGAGGAGCGCGTGCAGTAGTCTGCCACGCCGGTGAGTGCTGCCCCCTCCCCCGGTCCATGTCGGCGCCGGAGGAGCGTTTGCAGCAGTCGTCCACGCCAGCCTGTGCTGTTAGCCCCCCCCCCCCCCTTTCCCTCCGGTTTCACGGCGAGGTATTGCAGACGATGTCGGGGAAAATTGATATCCTCTTTAAACTTCCCCCGTGGGCAAGACAGCAGTAATAGCCTCATTCCTTGCAGAAACGCAATGAGAATGGAGCGATAGATGCGTTGATATTTCGGCAACATGCCTTAATCGCAATAGATATCAGAAGTCAAATCAAACCACGGCTGCTCAAAGATTGCGTGGTGAAGAGTCTGACCAAGCCTAACATTTCTAATAAATGAAACGATGAACTTGTGAACATTGACGCTTTTAATGACGGCGGTACAAATATGGCAATAATCATAAATATTTTTACCGAATAATGGTCGCACAGAACAAACACGCCTGTGCTCTCTCTCGGTGTCCTAGTTCCTCAGCTTAGACACAGCGTGTTGTGCTAGAGTTCGGTGTCGGATAACGCGTCCCCGGCCGCCTCTCGGTTTTGATTGGCGTATCTTTGCGTGCTGGGATGGGCTAATGACCTTCACATTCCACAATCATCTGTAGCGTGTAGTCAGTTTGACGTCTTGCACCGTTCTTCTAGTTGGTCCCATCCATTTATTAGTCCAGGCGTTAGGGTACCCGGCATTGGGCTCAGTCCTTAAGAACGCCTCATAACGGACGAGCTTGATCTGCGTGCGACTGGTCATGACTGGCGATGCCTGTCAACCACATTTCGTTCGCTCAGATGCTCCACTTTCTCCTGAATGTCGAAATGTGTTGGTGCCGTGCCGCTTGGACACCCGATTGTCCAGATCTGATACTGATTTCGGCTCGTCACCTTCATTTTTTCGCCATTTTGTATTCTTCCTTCGTTATGTTAGTCAAACGAGGATTACGAAGCTTACGTGATCTTCAAAACTACAGGAAGGCCTCCCGGTTGGTGTTTTGGCTGCCTGTTCTGCCTTCAAATGCCTTGAAACTACAACAGCACAGTTTAAAGCGTTGTGCCACTTGTTGCGGGAACTATGTGCCGGTGCGATCAGTCGATGCAAGGACATCATTCTGCCGGAAGCGTGACTGGCTGGGCCACTGAAGTCACCAGGTGTTCGTCAAGAATGGCTTGGTGTGGGACTTCGCCGGTAACAACTGAAACAACACATTTTCAATCACCAGGCGCTCTCCGCATTCCGACCTCGAGAATGACTTCGTGTGATCGACTTAATTATTATCTTTTTTATTGGCTTTTTTATTTTCTTAGTTATTACCTTTTTTAGTTTCTTAATTACTATTTTTTTATTTTCTTAATTCTTCTCTTTATTATTATCTTAATTATTAGCTTTATTATTATTTACTTGATATTCTTGATTAGAAACCCACTAATATAGCAACTGTATTTTATATATATAGCGGCTCGTACAACGTCGGCGGCCTTGTCCACTTTCATGGTTTGAAAATATTCTAATGCAGCTGAAACTGATTTGATCATGCCTTATTTGAAGTCAGTTACTAAACAAAATCATGTTGAAATTCGTCAGCAAAAAAGCGAGTACCGCTTGCATTTAGATGGAACGCACATGCTTACTACCGTTTAGCGAACACAAGTTGTAACACCTGTGACCCCAGCGACCTATGATCTAGATAGGAGTAAGGTTACAATGCGGCTTGCACCCTTGCGTATTACTGATCGTATGGTGAGTTGAACATAGTTGGACTTTCCAGATGACTTGTGAACGCAAAATGCCGTTCCTGAAGTCACATTGATTTCTGCACTGAACCCACGTTTTCATCTGTCCCCATTTCCGATAATGTGACACAAAGGTCCGTCTCGGATCACATTTTGCTGAACATGCAAAACCACTACTGCCCCGCTGGTCGGAGATGCGCGGTCAATATTTCAACAGCACTTGGCCGCCTGAGTCAGGAGGGAGCTCCTGACCCAGTCCTTCAGTTTGATTTCGCCCATCATTTGACCCGATTTGTACCCAAGGGCTGCGAAGCTGTCCGCAAATGTGGGAGGGCTAAGGACGAAATTGAAAGGACTGGCCTCTTCCCATCCCAATGGTATGGGGCATAACTGTGCGTGATGACGGGTGCATGCCTTGCTCCTCGACACCAGACGCAGGAATACCTGTAATCCGGGATGTACGTCCATTACCCGTATAATAATGGTGCATCGTCGTAGTCCATAACATGCCACCGACGTTGCTGCTACGCCTACGTGCATTTGTCGTCTTTTTAAGGGGGGGGGGGGGCAGGAATCGGGCGGGGTTACTCGGTAGGATTTCATCGCGCCATCCGTAAATCTGGGACCCGGCCATCCGGTACGCTTACGGTGAAGCGCTGTAATGGCCAGGCGTGCGTCCGGATCCCGAGAATGGATCCAGAACCCCATGTCGCTTGGATCTTGGGACCTTCTCAGGACTCGAGGCAAACGTGTGCTAAGAAAGGGTACCTGAATTGCAAAGTCATCACGGTATTTCTCCAAGATGGGTTCGAATTCCTGGAGGAATTTGTACCTGAAACTACGTGTCACTTGATGACATATCGTAATGCTTTGTTGACAAAGCCGGATAGCAATTATTTGGGAAATATTTAATTTCGCACGACTTTTGTAAACACCACCCTTTCCTCTTGTCCTCAAAATAAGATACGGATTTGATCCCGGTCGGGTGATGAGCCAGCTCACAGTTTGATGATGACTGTGAAAGACGCATAAGCTTGTAATGCATCACCTATTTTCTCCACTGACTTCTCCCAATAGCACTCAGGAAGGAAACAGGTTGCGAAAAATTGTGGTGTCATGGTGTTACTTGAAACGTTCTCTAGTGCCTTATAACTGACTTGCTTTTAAGTCTCCATTGATGCTCACGTTTCATTATTCCACTGTCGTGACGAAATGGATTCTATATACCCCAGGCAGCCAAGTATACTACGGCCATTTGTTAAGTTTATTAGCTATCGTGTGGGGCTAAGCCTGTCGTGAGAGGACGTCCGTGAGGCGAACACCTTGGGCCTGCCCAGATATGTGTCAGCTCATTATATTCTTGATTCGGTTAGCCCACCAGTGAGGCGGGCGACCCAGTTGCGTGGTTACTTTTTAATCGGTATTTCGCAACTGTCGTCAATGACTTAAAAAGTGCAGAATTGTCAAGCAGGGCTCTGTGGAAACAGCCATTTTTGACCTTGATGCAAGTAAGATTGTATGGCTGCTATCTTCTTTTTGCTCGTTGGGGGACTTTTCTTTTCGTATTCACGCTAGCATAGTGAAGATAATATTCACTCACTCACCCCAACGAAATTACACGAGAATTGTGGAAATTTGCATCACTAGGTAGATGTGCCATATGTTGGGTTCTATTAGCCGTCACTAAATCTTGAAGACAGAGCAACTACCACAACAACCATAATTTTGCGTGGCAGTGCAATTTATGAGCCTGTCGCGCGTTATCTAGAACCCTACGAAAACAACCATGGGAAAGGCACAAAGAACCCAGGTATAAACGGGCGGATCAATGTGGTATCCTATCTTGAAACTGTCAAGTCTGGCTTCGGCCAAAGCATTTGCGTACTTACCGAAGCCATGCAGTGGATGGCCCATCTTATTTTTAGCCCAGTAATGCCTTTATTCTTGTTGACATAGTGAAAAGCGTTGCTTTGTGGGAAGGTGCCGTAATATTCTTGCTTTCCAGAGCATGCCATTGTTTTGCGTAAAAGCTTCCAGTTTTGATAAACCGGGGTCTGGTGAAGACCATTGCAATTCTTTGGCATTTGTATGCCTTTGATGATCGATGGAATGTACGTCAGTCATGCGAGAGGTTTTGGTGTTTCAACATGATATGGGTATCGGGATGAGCTTTTTTGGAGTTACCGGAGTTGAAGAAGGCATGGTCTGAACTATTTTGGAGTTACCGGAGTTGAAGAAGGCATGGTCTGAACTATTTTGGAGTTACCGGAGTTGAAGAAGGCATGGTCTGAACTATTTTGGAGTTACCGGAGTTGAAGAAGGCATGGTCTGAACTATTTTGGAGTTACCGGAGTTGAAGAAGGCATGGTCAATAACCAGCAAGTATGATATTCCGAGCGTCAGGTGTGTATAAAGATAACCGGGACTTCCGTTCACTCCAATGCAGCACCGCGCACTTTTGCTTAACTCTATAGACGTTTTTCAACTTCAATAATGTTATACGCAAAATGTGGTACAGACATTTTAGTTGCTTGCTGTTGTATCAGAAAGCTTAGTTTCGATCAAGCTCCACGGAAAATAATTCAAATCACCACGTATGCACGGACTGAATATGAAATTGTTAAGGTCGGCTATGGCAAAACACGCATCATTTGCTCACTGCCAGATAAACAGGCTGCTTTTCCGGCACTGGATTGTGTGGTTACTTGAAGGCTATCACCACAATTTATCCAGTGTATTGCACAATCGTGATGCACGCTCAGCATTTGTACATTTGAATCATATTTGACCGCAAAAATACAGATGAAGACCGTGATAGCCGGAACCGATCTCCTTGTTTTGAACGCTACGCGCGCTATATTTCAGACTGTTTTACAGCCCCTTTGCCCACTCTACCACCGCCAGCCGACCGGATTTAAGAAACGCTTTCTTCAATCTTGTGTCTAAGCGCGAGAAAGAGCTCCCATCATGCTCAGCCGCGCCGGCCAAGACCGATAAAGCGAGCGTCTTACGAAGCATGACGACAATCTGTCCTACGCAGTTGTATTTTTGCGCGGTGTTTTGGAGATCCGCGGCCAGCACTTAATGGCACCGAACCGCACCAATATGAGCTGCGTGACTTCCCCTGGGAAAGCCTCCTGCGCGGCGAAAAGCTTTAATGAGCGTCCCTAGTGCTGATGCGAGGCAGGGCGTCGGGTTTTAGCGGGACACCGCCCTTTCACGCAGGTCGCTCCAGTAACGGTGGGAGTAATGTGCTACGTTTCGCTGTCTACCTACCGCCAGGTCATAAGCTCGGGGCTAGATCGCGGAAGCCCGGCGGCGAGTGGATGTGTCACTGTATGGAGCTTTCAGAGTCACTCGGCGCAAAAGAATGATCATTGCTACCGCTGCACCGTCGCCTTTCATACTGCGTTGCTTTGCTGACCAATTAAATGCCTTGGAAGAATTCCATTGATTTGGACGACCATGGACTCGAGAAGCATTCCTTGATGCCGACAGCCTTCCGATCAGGAGACATTTCCTTGACACTAACGACCTTTGGCTGTAGGCACGTAACCGTGATACGGACGACCTTTGGCTCAGGGCGCATTCCCTGACGCGGACGACCTTTGGCTCAGGAGACATTCCCTTGATACAAACGCCCGTTTGGCTGTAGACATGTATCCTTGATAAGAATGACTTTTGGGTCAGGAGAATGCGGACGACCTTTGACTTAGGGTACATTCCCTGATATGGATGACCTTTAGCTCAGGGGACATTCCCCTGATTCGAACAATGTATGGCCCAGCGGACCTTCCCTGGATACAGACGCCCTTTTGGCTCTACATAGACGCGTAGCCTAGGATACGGACAACCTTTAGCTCAGGAGAATATGGACGACTTTTGACTCAGTACACATTCCCTGATATGGGTGAGCTTTCGCTCAGGGGACATCCTATTTATTCGGACAACGTATGACTCGGGAGACATCCTGTTGATACAAAGGTCCTCGGCCTGAAGACACATAGCCTTGATACGGACGACCTGTGGTTCAGGAGAATAGGGCCGACCTTTGATTCGGGACATATTCCCTGACACGGACGACCTTTGGCTCAGGAGATATTCCCCTGTTTCGAACAACGTATGGCTCAGGAGACGCTCCCTTGACACAAATGCCCTTTTGGCTATGGACACGTAAACTTCGCACGGATGACCTTTGAGTCAGGAGAGTGCGGGCGACCTTTGACTCAGGGCACATTTTCTGACACGGACGACCTTTGGCCCAGGAGACATGCCCTTGATACCAATGATCCTCAGCTCAAGTTGACCCTGGGCACCGTTTGCAGCTACACATAGCTGCTGCCAACGGCTACATCACCGTGGTGGAGTACCTGCTGGACAACCACGTGTGCGTCGACGCCCGGGACAAGGACGACTGGCAGCCCATCCACGCAGCAGCCTGCTGGAGCCACGTGAGTTCGCTCTTCGGCCGTTCCAGGCGGGGCTTCGAGAAGGTCAGGCATTGCGCGTGGCGTGCTGAGGGAGTGGGCCAGCAAAGGCAGTTTTCGTTTTTTCCTTTTCGAAGAAGACCGAGCAGTGCATTGTCTTAAAGTAACTTTAAGTCCCCCGGAAATGCTGAGCAGCAAGGATATTGTCGCTTTTGTATTTCTCTACAGCTAACGCCGCTGTAAAAGATAGGGACTGAATTGCTGCTAAATTTGAGTACGTCATTATGCAGTCCTCGCTTTCCGAAGGGCCACTGTTAAATCCATAGTTATGCAGCTTTGCTGCAAGCTTAGATTGCGAACACCATACAAAACGACCTATGCACCATGGTTCATAGATCTCATAATTGTTTATTGATCACGGCATGCCTTTCCCTTCCGCCCAGCCCAGTCTTTTATTGCAGGAGAGTAGGTGCCAAGTTCTTGGCGGCAAATCCTGGCAGTCTAGGCTCGCAGCATTCAGAATGCCTTTACGAGCGGCGATGCACTTTGGACAGCGCGCAGTTCCGAACAATGCGCTGTCAGAACTGCTTCGACGCCCTGTGGCGTGTCGACGGTGTTGTTGAGCACCTTGCGTGTCTGTTCCAGCCGCAAGTGATAGAGTTGCTCTACCAGAACGGCGCGGACCTATCGGCCGCTACCAGGAGCGGTGAGACGCCATTTGGTGAGTCTCGGGTGTGTGTGTGGGGGGGGGGGGGGGGGGCGACGGCGCCTGCATCCCCGGGATCACGCGTGTGGCACCAGCCGGATCTGTGCTGCCACTGTCATACGATTTCAGTGCTATCCATGTATGGTTTTGAAAGGCCTTTGGGCCCCGTCACCATGACAGCATAGTTTCCTCACCAGGCAGAAGAGGAATCGTCCTCACTAGACATTCTCACATCGTTGCGCTTACACAGTCAAAATGAGCTTGCCTGTCCGGACCGTTTCCACCCCAGCGCCATGCTGGGAAGACGCGATGAGACGGACACTCTCCCCAGAGTGCTCACATCCGAGCGGCGCTTAGGATCGCCTGATGACCGCCGCCCCCTCCTGAAGGGTCCGGATCACCATCTAATAGCATTCGGGAGGCGGTAATGAACCGACCATCGGCCGCGCGCGGCGGCGCCACCCTCGGCTCGTGTCCTCGTCTGACCGCATATTGCCCCGGCGCCCCGCTATCTCGCATGGCGGCACACCGTCCGGCCCGCCTCGTGAGGGGAGGGCAGATTACGGTCGTAAAACGATGCTGTCCCGTCCCGCCAGGCTCGTCCCCCCACCCCCTCCTCATTTGGGCGCCGAACGGGCGCTGGTGGTTCCAGCTCGGCGACTTTTGTGGCATTGGCCTAGATTCGAACGTCCCTCTTAGAGCCCGCCCGGGTTTTTGGGCTCCGCCACGGCCTTCGATGAGATTCGATGCGCGGTATTTTATCGTTAATCGCGACAGCACTCAGGCTTTAGCGCCTCGCTCGTCTGACGGCCCGCTGCAGCACCTCTCAGCGTATCCAGCTGCTGGGGTACTGATGCGACGCGATGCTTTCACCCGGCGAAGCTCAGGGACGTACGTACCCCTGAGGGTAAATCACGCAGTGAAACCCGGTCTCAATCCTCGTGACTCCTAAGTTGTATGCACATCACCGTCCAGAGCTGTTCGCAACGACCGGTGTGCCTTCGCGAAAGCGTAGTGTTGTGACTGAACTGCTGGTGGCTTGGATGGCTTAGCCTCGTCGCATCAGTGTTACATGAATGTTATTTATTGATGCTCCACTTTTTGCGCGAAACATGACAGAATAAGCGTCTTTGCTGCCGACGTTTATCCATGAACCGACTAATCGGTCACTTCAGAGCAGGGGTGTATTCTCCCAAAAATAAGTTGGGGGGATGGGGGGGGGGGGGGGGGGGCGCTAGGCGGCGAAAGGTGGCGAAACCTCTCCCCAAACACGCCAACAAACGGTTGTCTCCCCGGCTATGGCCCAACACGCCTTCTCAAAGCTGGGATGTCGACGTTCAAATTGGGGCGGGGGGGGGGGGGGAGTGGAACACCACCCACACACGTTAAAAAGGGAGCTTCAACCCTGCTTCCAGAGATCACAGATGGCTCAAGCCCCGTTCCGCCTCAATCGGATTTCAGATGGACGCGATTCCATCTCGGCTCAACACAAAGTTTGTTGTTCCCGGAGTCGCCTCTGACTTCCCGTGGAGTCGAGCACAGATCTGAGGCCTACTCCCATGCGGACGTTTGAAACCCCTGGCCCCTGACCATCTAACTCCGTGTACCATCTGCAGACGTCTGTGAGGACTCTTGACAATTGACACCCGTGTACTGTCTGCAGACGTCTGTGAGGACCCCTGACCATCTAATCTAACCATCTAACCTCGTGTGCCGTCCGCAGACGTCTGTGAGGACCTCTGACCATCTAACCTCGTGTGCCGTCCGCAGACGTCTGTGAGGACCTCTGACCATCTAATCCCGTGCGCCGTCCGCAGACGTCTGTGAGGACCCCTGACCATATAACCACGTGTGCCGTCCGCAGACGTCTGTGAGGACCCCGAGATCAGGGAGCGCCTTGAGCAGCTGAAGACCGAACAGGACCTGAAGCGGACCGAGACGCAGCGGCCGCGCGTGCGTCGCACCCAATCCACCAAACACTCGATCCGGCGCACCTCAATGCGGGAGAAGACGCTGACACCCAAGAAAGACGTCAAGCAGGAGGCTCGAATAAGGCTCGGCGTCGAGGAGTCCATTGTGAGTGACTGAGTCCGGCCGCGCGTGGTGGGTCGGTTGGACGGGGGCCTCGATGTAGTAAATCACGTGCTGATAAACACGTCGACAGTTTTATGAACGTTCGTGTTGCTAGTGCGAGAGCGGAGCTCGTGGCATGGGGCAGCCGCACTCCACACACGGACACGAGGCGCGCCAAGGGCACTTTCCCAGCTTCTCTAAAATGATTACAGCTGATTGTTCAAGCGACCGGGCTTTCCACGGCACTGGTCTCAAATCTGGTGCTATTTTTATGCCAGCTTTTCATCACGTCTAGTTTTATGCCGCTCCTGGGAATATTGGGATTTAGTTTCAAGACTGCCACCGTGCTGGAATTTGGTAATCTTGCCGACGGACTGACTCGGAAAGGCACTCAAGGGAACTCAAAGCGCTTTATTTTATCCGCACACGACTTGGGAAAGCACAAATTATCTTCAGAGCAGCATAAGGAACGAAAAGTGGGCACCAATTTGGCGTGAATGCGATAACCTAATTACTAAAGCAGAAATTGCCACAAGAGCGCCATAAAAAGCGAAGAAGTAGCACCAGGTGAACGCAAACACAATGTCATAATTTTTAGGCGTGGATGCTCCAAAAGACTGCACCATGCCGATGAAGCAGTTGAAAAATGCCCCACAAGATCGTGCACCTATTCTAGGAGAAACATTTCGAAATGAACAGCCACCGACGTACCAGGTTTTAACAAAATTTTGAAACCGAACAAAACCGAACCTTTTTCTTTGGAAAGTAGACGGGCTGCACTGGGGATAGTTTCTTAAAATAAGATGGATAAGCTGAATGGGCAAATTGGCTGAACATACCCCGAAATACACAATGAGTATGTTGTTTTGTTTTGTTGTTCCTGAATATGACGAGCTTTAGTTCCGGACGAGCAGTTAGCTCCAAGTGAAAACATAACCCCACCTTTGGCGCGATATGCAAACTACTGAAAACGGCTTAGGAGGTCGGTCATAAAGTCACAAGTATAGCATCGGCCAATGTTTCTATTTTCATAGAATCCGTACTATGTTACATTGCCGCCGTCACCTCCCAGGCTATGTCCCGTCCCCCCCGCTTCAGTCATTTCCATTACTAAGCACCACCTGAACATGTCACTGGACAGAATTGCACTTCGCGTTGATATCTGGGACCTTTACCACGCCAATCGCTGCTTGGGATAACGCGTGGTGTTCAACGACCTGCCTCCCGTAAACCCTGTCCGGACCCACCACTCCTTCCACTAGCCTCGGCGACCTGCCTCCCGTAAACCATGTGCGGACCCACCACTCCTTCCACTAGCCTCGGCGACCTGCTTCCCGTAAACCCTGTCCGGACCCACCACTCCTTCCACTAGCCTCGGCGACCTGCCTCCCGTTTACCCTGTCCGGACGCACCACTCCTTCCACTAGCCTCGGCGACCCGCCTCCCGTAAACCCTGTCCGGACCCACCACTCCCTCCACTAGCCTCGGCGACCTGCTTCCCGTAAACCCTGTCCGGACCCACCACTCCTTCCACTAGCCTCGGCGACCTACCTCCCGTAAACCATGTGCGGACCCACCACTCCTTCCACTAGCCTCGGCGACCTGCTTCCCGTAAACCCTGTCCGGACGCACCACTCCTTCCGCTAGCCTCGGCGATCCGCCTCCCGTAAACCCTGTCCGGACCCACCACTCTCTCCACTAGCCTTGGCGACCTGCCTCCCGTAAACCCTGTCCGGACCCACCACTCATTCCACTAGCCTCGGCGACCTGCCTCCCGTTAACCCTGTCCGGACCCACCACTCCTTCCACTAGCCTCGACATTTGGGACTTGTCAGGGACAACGTGATAAACGGTCGTGAAGATCCGAGATTTATCCGTAATGGAGCATATTGTGTGAATATTGAATTTTCAATGCCAGGTTCGCAGCTGGAACGTCTGGAGGGTCGCCTGATGACCATAATCTCAGGGTATGGATAACTTGTGGCGTAACATCGATCACGAAGCACCACACATTACCATCTCCGCATTAACGATTTCACACTGTACGACCTTTTTCATACCTTAGGCTGCTATCACCAAATATTCGATGCTCATTTCTACACTGCCTGTTTGTACCACGCTACACGCATGATACAAACGCTCTGTAGGTAGAGCCCGCGCCCAGACATCTGCATGACCAGACTCCACGGTGAGTTGTGCCTAACGACTTGATTCATTTCTCAGCAACTTGATTGCGAGGAGCTCATCGGAAAGATCCACATGTCATGCCCAAACTCGACTGAACGGGGCGGGAGCCACATTTCAACTGCGTTGCTTCTCCCGCTACTTTGTACAACGCAGCGTGCGACCGTTCAAAAGTTTAATTTTAAAGCCCATTAGCACATACATCAAGACGAACAAAGAAAAGGAGCGCTTGGAAGCCCTAAGCAATTACGCGTGCATCCGTAGCCTTCCTGCTGCAGCCTCGAATCACAAAAAACTTCTTTCGACAGCCTGCAAGCCCGCGTCGCCCTTTTGGTGCACTGGCTACAGCATCTCATCCACGCCACGAGAGAGTGCCTTATCTCATCCACGCCACGAGAGAGTGCCTTATCTCATCCACGCCACGAGAGAGTGCCTTATCTCATCCACGCCACGAGAGAGTGCCTTATCTCATCCACGCCACGAGAGAGCGCCTTATCTCATCCACGCCACGAGAGAGTGCCTTATCTCATCCACGCCACGAGAGAGTGCCTTATCTCATCCACGCCACGAGAGAGTGCCAAAAGCTGGGCATTGCCAGTTGTCAGCCGGGCTGACATACACGCGCTATGTATAACAGCTGTGGCGGCACCAGCCTCGGCAACGGCTCGCTTTCTCGCCCGCAGTCGGCGCTGGAGGACTCGAACCGCCGCGTGGACGCCAGCCTGCTGGACGTGGACGGCATCGCCATCGAGCTGGCCGACGACACGTCGCAGGCCTCCAGCGCCAACAAGTGAGTCGGCAGCGTCGACAGCAGGACGTCTGGCGAGATGTAGTGGAAGGTGCCTGTCAGTGCACTGTTGGAGGCTGGGTGCCTGCGCTGTCACGCTGCCTGCACAGATGGAGAGAACCTTCATCAAACCTAATCCATCAAAGATAGAACATATCCTGTCCTGTTGGCATGCAAACTTCTGCAGTGTCACACAGCCCACGAGGCAGGCGTTCCTCTACAAACCCACACCTGTCGCGCTCCTCCAGACAGCGGAGGCGTCAGCGACAGTCGCTGTTGACTCCTCCGTCTGTCGGTGCGGCAAAAAGCGCCATCCGTCACTTTGCCGTCGGTGCCTGCGACGCGCGTAATGCGACCGAGACGGACGGGCGGCGGCCGGTGTCCCGCCGAAATGGAGCTTCCGCCGAATCTATTGCCATAGAGCTGCTCTTTGTCCGATCCAAATTGGCTTGACACTTAATCAATGTCCGAGTGCGAGCGCATCCGGAAATACAAGACCATAAACATATCAGCTCGCAGGAAGCTATCTGGAAATGGTGACTGAAATTGGCAAAGATAAGTCGTTTGATAATGTTTAGAGCTCTTTCGATGGGAGTTTTGTGCAGCAATGCGCGGCTTTGTCCAAACGACTGGAGCCGCTGGCATGAAATGAGGACAATGAAATGCAGCTGCCATTCAGTAATAAATCAGGCTTTATAGTGTCAGACCCAAGAGGCAAATGGTGTCCTCTTCACATTGGCCGCTCGCAAATTTTAGGACTGAGTGCGTGACATGATTATAGCGATAAATGCGTCATGACATCTGATAGCCATTGGATACCAAAATGGGTCGTCGATAGGACGAATTAGTTAGGATAGGATAGGGCGTCTTGCGGTCTTACCCGAGCGATGTTCATCCGTCTCAGTTTTTGTTGTCGCGGGAAGAAGTCTCGTAACCGTAATGACCGCTCCAGTCAATAGTCCTGCTGCTTTGCTATTCTACGGCACCTGCATACCCTGCTGTGGTCATTAGCCCCGTTCTCTTCCGCGCCGATGGTAGCTGGGAATCAAAAATCCCCCTGGTAACAACGCTTGAACCCACCACCCTTGATTACAGTCCAATATGAAGTCCAATATGTCAACACAGCCGCAGCACGTTCAGTTCACGTGGTTGCTGTCTTACCGGAGTGCCGCACGGTGGCTGCGTGGCGTATGACGCTGGCTTGCGCACAAAAGGTGCACGGTTCCATTCCCGTCCATGGAAAATTTCACTGATCTGGTTTCCGCTGCATAGGTGATGCTAAGAAGCCTACCACCAGACGCGTAGATAAATAACGCGTCGACCATGGTCTGTTAGCAGGTCAGAGGATCTGACGGACGGAGTGAGCACCGCCACGGAGGACCAGAACGGCACGGACCTCACGAAACGGGCCGATGGCCAGGTCACCGCCGGCCAGGTCAACGGCGCCCGGGTCAACGGAAGCCAGGTCAATGGAGGCCAGGTCAACGGAAGCCAGGTCAACGGAAGCCAGGTCAACGGAGGTCATGTCAACAGCAGCGAGCGACCGACGCGTGACTCCAGCAGAACATGTGAGTTCTTGTTTGATCCTAGTCCAGTGTCGAAATCGTACGGGGTCAGGCGAATTTAAGTGACTATTTGACGTGGATTCGCGTCCATAAGTCCATATGTTAAGAAAACCTTGATGTCAGGTCTATCGTGCACACGTTCTTCCTAAATCGATACTTGCTATGTTGCTACGTGAGCATGTAAACGGAATTCAGAGTGAAAGAGCTACCCTTTTTGGTAGCGTTGCCATGGTACCAGGTTTTGATGCCATGCTCTGTACGGTTTAGTGTAGTGTCGGCTTCAACATTACGCCACATGTGACTTCCCATGGCATGCATACGTCCTGGCACCGATGTGTAACCATTGTCGTCTGAGCTCGCACAATGATTTGTTAGCGTGGCGCCGGCATTCTTTTTCCCCAGACTGTTTGCGTATAGCGTCGCGATGACGTTCTTATTTTGACCGTGCTGGACCTGAATGCCTTTTGTCTACCTCTCCATTTGGTTTGCGCACTTACTGCCGAGCTCCCCAGTGCTTTGCGGCTGCACTATTCTTGCGCGTCGGTCTTCTGTTGCCTGCGCGCGGCGAGCCTGTGTTCCGGGTATTCCACCGCGACAGCACTTTTGTTTCGTTTCACCATTGTGTTTCGTTTCTTTTGTAGCGGTAGGCAGCTCGGCTTCCGTGGAATCCAGTAAGATCGACATTCACGTACACGTAACGGTGAACACGGGCGTCGGCGGCGGCGGCGGGGCCGGAGGCGGTGGCGCTGGCGGAGGCGGAGGAAACGGCGGCGGCGGCGAGGGCGCGCCGCCAGCCTACACGCCGCCCACCTACACGGCCAGCTACAGCCACGGGCCGCTGCAGGGCACGCTGGCCGACCTGAAGAAGCAGCGCGCCCTGTCGCGCAGCGCGCTGACGGGTGCGATTGCGCTTAGCGCCTTCCCGCTGGACGAGCTGGGGCCGGCGGCCGTGTCACCCATGCCCTCGCCGGCAGCCGACTCGCCGCCCGTGCCTCGGCGCCGCTTCGTCACGGGCGACGGTGGCCTCGTGACCTCCGAGCTGCCGCGCGAGAAGACCGGCTGCTGCTGGCTGCAGTAGCGACGTCTAGCGGACGAGCGGCAAGCTGCGGTTCGCCGCGCGGCCGCCCGGCAGAGCCGTCGCTGTGATACATGGGGAGATTCTCATTGGGGCGATGCCCTTCATTCACATGGGGAGTTTGGCTCTGCGGCGTTGGTCGTGGGAGCTTTCAAGCAAGTTGTGATGTGAAGGATGGTAGATTTACTTTCGGCCTGTGGCGTAGTGTGCAGGTTGGCGCGTTTAAGCTTTCTTACTACAAGGAGCCGGGTGAGTGAGGCAGTAATGTCGGTCTCTCAAGAGACAGGCTTCACTAGCGTTAAGGTGGCAGATGCGGTGCTTCCGTTGGGCTAGGCCGTAGCCTTTCCATGTCCTTTCACCCGAAAATTGTCCTCATTCGACCATGCTGATATCATTGGCAGGAAGCACGCGCTCTGCCGACGCGTTGAGCTCACCCCTCTTAACCACTCCTGTCTTTCCAATGTTGTCAAATTCTGCAGGAGGTGAGCCGTGAGGTCCGCCGCGAATCCATTTCGATGTATTGCTTGCGTGCTTTTGAGTTGAGCAAAGCCAAAATACGCTGATGTGAAAGACAACCATCTAGGTATATGCAGGGAGAGCAGCTGATAAAGTAGACGGGTTCGGCTCCTTCCGCATACACCCGCTCGTTTAATGCGCCTGCAGGGGCTTAAAGCAGCATTCCATGGTTTGTGCAGGCAGCTATTTTTAGTTCATCTAACACTATACTGATCTGTATTGCGTCCTGTCTGTACCGGAGGCAACACGCAACATCTGCAGATAGGCGAGAGGTGGCGCTGTTTTCAACCACTCGCCCCACTCCGCTCGTCTCTTAGGCTTGTCATCATCACGCGTCAAGCCCACCACTCAGCTGGCTTCCTTGCTTCTGTTGAGAGCAGTACGCACTGCTTCCTGTTGGGTCCCAGCGCCTCACGCCAACTGCCACCGCCCAGCTGGCTTCCTTGCTTCTGTTGAGAGCAGTACGCACTGCTCCCTGCTGGGTCTCAGCACATCATGCCAACTGCACTGAGAGGCCCACAAAATGTGAGCGTGCCAACGAGCGAGCAGCTTCTTAGCCGCGGTTATATGCGTCGCGGCTTATTTGTGTCTAGTGGTTCTGGGAACGTGCATTTCGTGTACCATTCCTGTTCGTCATACATTCCTTGCGATCAGGCCGCGTGCGAGCGCAATTTTGACATAACTGGGAAAAGTGCGTGTGTGCTGAATACGCCTAGTGGCCTCGTGTTATAATCGTTTTTACGCGAGTGGCAAAGGCGTGAAATGATCCGTAAATGCTGGAGTCCATATTGACTTTTGATTCAATACAGCATGAAAGCATGTTTCATTGTTTCATCCGTGTTACGGCGAATGAAGTTCATTCGGTCCCGTTCAGTCAACAGTCTAACGCTTCCGTGTTTTGGCGAATGAACACAAGGCCATGGCTTCCAGCAGTAAGCAGAGCCAAAGGCAAAACACAAAATGTATTTTTCTGAGAGCATCGGTGTACTTCTCATAACCAATAAAAATAACAGACAGGTCCACCCGGTCACTGTTCCTAACAGCCCAGGGAAGCTCCGAAAATGGGCACGACGTCCACGCTCCGCACCCCGAGGCAAAACAGAGAAACGAGGGCCTCGTGTAAGGCCGTGGAATGATTCAACGTCAAACATGACATGTGTCTGTAGCATGTTATACACGCAAGCACACACTGGCGGCAGTGGCTACCGAGTGATCCGAGCGGCGGCAGTGGCTACAGATACCGATGTCGAATGGGTGTTATCGGCGCCATCTGTCCCACGTCCCGCGCTGTTCTGTGCTGACTGAACCGCTCCTTAGCATCTCACCGTTCCCATGACCTATCGACATGCTTTCAGTTTCCATGCTACCTCGTTTTCACTCGGTACCTTTCACGTTACTCGTTGTCAGTCGACGCCTTCCCATACTATCACGGTGTCTCCCTGTACCTGTGTGGGAGCGTCTCAGTGTCTTCCCACGTCATTGCTGCCGCGTCTGAGCACATCCCTAGGAGCCTCTCAGGGCCTTCCAGTCCCATCAGCCCCCAGCCCGTCTGACGCCTCTCCCCGGCCATCCCCTCACTCTCTCCTCTCTGGCGGTCCCACTCACTCCCTCCTCTCAGGGCCTTCCAGTTCCACCAGCCCCAGCCCGTCTGACGCCTCTCCCCGGTCATCCCCTCACTCTCTCCTCTTCGACGGTCCCACTCACTCCCTCCTCTCAGTGCCCTCCAGTCCCACCAGCCCCCAGCCCGTCTGACGCCTCTCCCCGGCCATCCCCTCACTCTCTCCTCTCTGGCGGTTCCACTCACTCCCTCCTCTCAGGGCCTTCCAGTCCCACCAGCCCCCAGCCCGTCTGACGCCTCCCCCCCCCCCGCCGTCCCCACACTCTCTCCTCTCCGGCCGTCCCCTCACTCACTCCCCTCAAGTCCTGCCAGTCCCATCAGCCTCCATCCCGCCTGACGGCTCTTTCCGACTGTTCCCTCACTCTCTCCTCTCCGGCCGTCCCCTCACTCACTCCTCTCAAGTCCTGTCAGTTCCATCAGCCCCCAGTCCACCTGACGCCTCTCTCCGATCGTCCCCCTCACTCTCTCCTCTCCGGCGGTCCGGCGCGGTACGCAGTCGTCGCCGCCACCACGGCCGCGTTCAGGGTCAGACTGACGCTGAAGGAGAGCAGCAGCAGCGGGTCGCGACTCTGCAGCAGCGTCGTCACCAGCCGCGTGACGCACGTCAGCGCCGCCAGCGACCACGTTAGCGCGCTGACGCCGCGTCCGTCGCGCGCGCGCAGCACCGCAGCCAGCTGCGCCAGTTTGCCGCTCCAGGCCAGTGGTAGGTCGACCCGCACGAGCACGAGCAGGAGCGACTCCGGCAGGTGGCCCGAGGCGAGTCCGGTGGCGACGGCGGCGGCGGCGGCCAGCGCCAGCACCCAGCCGGGCTGCAGTCGGCCGGAGCGCGCCAGCAGCAGCGCCAGCACCGTCAGCTGCTGCGGCACCAGCAACGCGTGCTCCAGGTAGCTGGTGAGCGGGTAGCCGCGCCGCACGTGGTAGCAAAGCTGGGTGGAGTAGCTGGCGAGCTCCAGCAGCGCGGTGGTCAGGCTGAGGCCGGCGGCGGACGCCGCGCTGGCGAGCGTCACCAGCTGCGGCAGCTTCATCACCACCGACGGCACGATAGTCAGCCAGTCGCAGACCAGCACTAGCCAGGCGGTCAGCGACATCAGGAGACGCTGGGCACTCCGTGGAGGAGGAGGGGGTTGGGATGTCCGCTGGTCCGTCCGGCGACGGCGTACAGTCAGACAGAACCGGGCGCCAGGCTCAGGCTTCCCTGATTCACTCAATTGACGGCGAGCTTTCAAGCTCTTCGCACCGAAACAGACTGCAAAGAACGCTCCGTTGATATCCCTGATCGCTGTGACCTGCCAACATAAGTTCACGGCGAGTCGCGAGGCTCAAACCGGCCGTTGTCGCTCGCGTGATCGTCTCAGTCACGTGGCACGCAGACACTCCTCCCACTCGCTGGCCACCCCTCGGTGGTCCTGAGTCACGTCGGCTGCCCAGCCGCACTCCTCACCGGCCCTCGGCTGTTGTGGCAAGGTGGGCGGATGCTTCCGATGGTCCGTTATCAGCCGAGATGATAACCGAGCAGGGGCGGCTCGGGGCGACAAACAATGTGTGACATGCACCGGGCTAACGCTCCGTGTGTGTGTGTGTGTGTGTGTGTGTGTGTGTGTGTGTGTGTGTGTGTGTGTGTGTGTGTGTGTGTGTGTGTGTGTGTGCGTGCGTGCGTGCGTGCGTGCGTGCGTGCGTGCGTGCGTGCGTGCGTGCGTGTGTGTGAGAGAGAGGAGAGAGAGAGAGAGAGAGAGAGAGAAGAGGAGAGAGAGAGAGAGATGAGAGAGAGAGAGAGAGAGAGAGAGAGAGAGAGAGAGAGAGAGAGAGAGGAGAGAGAGAGAGGAGAGAGAGAGAGAGAGAGAGAGAGAGAGCGGGAGAGAGGGGGATTGATATGTCGAATGCTGAGTGTAGAGTAGTTTTGCCCGGTGTTCGTAATGCGATCCGGTGAGCTATTCCTGGAAGCGATCTTATGGTTAGGCGCAATTGCATTTAAACATGGGTTTTTGAAAGCTAGATGATGGCTGGACCTCAAGCTGTATTCCTTGTTAAGCTACTTGAAAGAGATAGCGTCTTCGGCGAACTCTGACAGGCTCTGCCCTCTAGGATCCATGCCTGGGTGCGCCCCTGTCAGCGGGACGTGAGGCGCTATCGGTTAAACTCGGCTCAGCACACCATTGTAAAGTCTTCGCTGCCCTCGGCCAGGTCCTGCAAGTTTGCAAAGCTCAGCACCAGCGAGCAAATACGTTGCCCGAACCAATAGCGCCAAATTTGTTTTTCGATGGTTTGTGGTAAAAAAGTCAACTAGCGGTCTGTGGCGCCGCGCATGGTCAAGCACGTGCAGTGTTTTAGTTTGTTCAGGCGTTTCTCAGCGAGTTAGCTTCTTAAGAAGTCTTCCTCAGCTTGCAGATCATGTGATGGCTCATCTAGCCGTAAACAGGGTATGGATCATCCATCCTCTATTTGGCACACTTGATCGCAGGCCTTGACGTGCTGTTGCGCTTGTCTTGGGCTCTGCATGGGGCTCATTCACATTTCCTCTGCGCCCGGCCGCCTGAGCTTGGCTAGTGTTTTACAGTCCTGGTCACCGAATGGGTGTTTCCACCTGGGATGTTTAATGCTGTCATGTCTAGAACACCTCCCTGTGCTGATTTAACCAAGTTTGTTTTATAGTCTTTGCACACCACATTTTGCGGCTGGGCTTGCGGGTGGCCAAACCAGTTTTGATGTTGTGCATGCATAGATCAGACATAATATAATATGGAAATAAAGAATACTCTCTTAACTATAGTCAGAGTTTTAAATGCATCGTTTGGCTGAGAATTCGGTCCAGCACATGGCGGAGGCTGGGTTGGGGCTCCATGCTGGTCAAATACCTTGCAAGTAGAACGCATGGTAAAGCTGGTGAAGAACGGAATCAAGAAGCAAGTCCAATTTCTCTGCTCAGCAGGCTCAGGCACTGGCTGTTCCGGCACAGGAACACTCTCACAGGAACACACTTTGTACACTCTCACAGGAACACTCCTTTTACACTCTCACAGGAACACTCTTTGTGCACTCTCACAGGAACACTCTTTGTGCACTCTCACAGGAACACTCTTTTTACACTCTCACAGGAACACTCTCACAGGAACGCTCTCACAGGAACACTCTTTTTGCACTCTCACAGGAACACTCTCACAGGAACACTCTTTTTACACTCTCACAGGAACACTCTTTGTGCACTCTCACAGGAACACTCTTTTTACACTCCCACAGGAACACTCTCACAGGAACACTCTTTGTACACTCCCACAGGAACACTCTTTTTACACTCTCACAGGAACATTCTTTTTACACTCTCACAGGAACACTCTCACAGGAACACTCTTTGTACACTCTCACAGGAACACTCTTTGTACACTCTCACAGGAACACTCTTTGTACACTCTCACAGGAACACTCTTTGTACACTCTCACAGGAACACTCTTTGTACACTCTCATAGGAACACTCTTTGTACACTCTCACAGGAACACTCTTTGTACACTCTCACAGGAACACTCTTTGTACACTCTCACAGGAACACTCTTTGTACACTCTCACAGGAACACTCTTTGTACACTCTCACAGGAACTCTTCACCCCCACAGTTTGTCAGGGAGGACGTCAGCAGAGACGCTGTTTGGACGCGCACGAAGAACTCCCTCACTCTTCTCCGCCCGTCAAGTGAGTCAGTAAACCGCGGAAGCATGGATGTCGGTGCTGCCAGCCGTTCCTGCCGCGCAGGAGATCCAGTTCGTATCACATAGATCACGACTCTGCCCAAAGGTGGCTTGAAGGCGCGGCGCTGGACGCCTGCTGGGCCGCCATGCCGAATCCTGCTCCAAGATGGCCGCCATTCCCGCCGCCATTTCTACCGCATCCGGTCTCGGTATGCGTCGGGTGACAGCAGTTTGCACGGTTACGGCAGATACTTCGCATCCAGCAGACTGCCTACGCTGCTGCTTCTGCCTGCCCACAGCGACCTGCCAGCACCCTCTGCTCCTTCAACAAACACCGCGACGCCTACCCGAGCTCTGGTGACTGACATCGATCTACGGCATCACAGCGGCGTCCCAACGGTAGAAGCGTCCCATTCCGGTCTGACTGCCTGCCACTGCGCCCCGGTGTCGTGAGCAGGCTCATCCGGCTTCCTCGCAGTCGTTCGTGGCACGAGCCTTCGACCCGTGCACAACCGGCGCCCACCTGCTAAACTGAGCCCGAAACCACCTGCCGTCCGATGTTGTGCTTGTAGTTCTTAATTGAGTGCCTTCGAATCCTTTTTTTAAAGTGTTTTTGTGAGAGTGTGAAGTGTTCCTGTCCTTGCGTTGCTGTGTTGTACGGCTTGATTTCCGCAATTTGTTTTATTATATTATATTTATTATTTTATTGTATATACAATATGCAATAATTTTGTTACTATATACAATATAATTATACAGAATAATTATTTTGGGCAAATAAAGGGGGGAGTTGGGGTGTTCTGTACAGTCGCGCGCGCAAAACATTTTAGGCGTTTCGTATGTGCTCAGCAACTCGGTTTCATGAGCGGAGACCTCGATGAGTGTGCCCATACCACACCAATCACGTGCACCTGCAATGCCTCACCGAGCCAAGTCTAGGGTGGACAAACCACTGTCGTCGGTATCTGAGTGTGTATGGAGCATATAAGTGTCGAATGGCATGTGGTGCACTGAAAATAAACATACCGGGCGTGACAGCAATATATTAATGTTAGTACGGATGTAGTAACATTATGTTAGTAAATGTTAGTAAATGGCAGTACCGGTGCTCTATGTCAGTGCTGTGACAGACAAGCGTCCGTTATTTGACACCAATGTGTCATTGTGCCTATCTGTGAATAATTTGCAAAGCCTCATAATCATACTATATGTACTATACATACTCATACTAAATAGTCGCTGGTGTCTCGCATTGCGTGACACCTATCTCTATGGCGTATGTAAGTTTGCATGCATTACTGTGCTTTGCCTACCGTAACAATCTTCACTGCTGCTGGTCGGTCTTGAAAACAAGTTGCCACTTTTGACGAAAAGACTCTATGATGCACGGGTCGGACGGGTGGTTAGCGGGAGCTCTCTCAGAGCATTGCCGGCCGCGTCTAAACATGGTGTGCTCTGGACCCGGCACACGCGGCGCGGTCAGTGAGGGCTGTAAACAGCCCACATCAGTGTAAACAGTAAAGGCTTGTGGGGCAATTCAGACGGTGCGATGCATCTGCGTTACGTTGAAGGGAGTGTCCCACATCTGCATAGAGGTTTTGCACTGGAATCACCATTTTGTAGACCTTTCGGTGCAGTTCAGAACCCTGGCCTTCTTAAGACCTAACCAAATCTAGTTTCTGGTCTAAACTCTCGCGAAAATGGGAGAGTATTTGGAGAGTATCAAATGCTATCTTGGAATTCACGACGTCATAATAACGTCATACGAATTCTGCCATTTCATAAGCTATGTGACGTTCAAGGCCGAGAAAATGCAATGGTCTAATCGTTTATACCTGGCGTTTGTGAGCACGCTTCCTAGATCTTGCGACAGGCCGTCAATAGGTTCTTCATCAATGTTGTGCAAAGTACGAGGACGTAAACAAACAATTGGGTATCGAGAAGCATATTTGCTAAACAGAGAAATTGTGGTGTCTGTAGCAGCCTTTTCTACATAAAAGTATACCGATAGTTATAAGTTAGCTTGTTTCATCATACCTGCTACTTGCTTCAACATCTTCAAATGTGAAACACTCCCTTTAAGTCCATTCCGATTGCTCAGTTGGTTTTAGCGCCTGTCTTCTGACATTCATTGGTGACGGAGTGGGCTCAAGTCGCTCTTAGTGCTCGATTTTGGCTCTCGACTAGAATGGTCTGCGACTGTTGGCAGCGGCTGCTCTAAACGACGGATGACGTCAGTGGGTAGGGCGGATCGTGCCGAGCATTGTGTGACGTTAAGCTTCCACCACCATTGTCTACACCATTGATTTGGAATTTTCCGACGGAATGGTGGGCCCAGAAGCCGTGGAACAAGCGCTACCTACCGCGTGTTCTAATCCCAAACATCCATTCAATCCAGCGGTTTCGGACCAAATCTTTAAAAGATCGTTGGGATCACTTCGACGGCATGAGGCTTTCGAAAATAAATATAAACGCTACCTGAGTTATGCGATTTATTGGGAGAACTGAATGCGCTACAGATCATGCTATTTGTAAATAATAAATACTCTGCAAATCAGCGCAAATGGCAAATGAGCCACCCTGTTTGCGTCACTTGGGACATAACCATAGCGTCTCACAATTAACACTACCGCATCGCGGAAGTCTTTGACAGGAAGCATAAGCGTCGCTGGATGCCTTGAACCACTGAATCACAATGCTGCGCCGATGACTAAGAAGCGATTCGTTGTCATGCAAGTCAGCTTTCGATTTCATGCAAGGTTCATGTTAGCGCAATCAAATTAAATAGTTTCGGAGACTGGAGCAGATGAGAAACCTGACACCAGCTGCTCATGAAAGTGTCGCAAGCACATCAAGGTGCGCAAAGCGTCCAGGTTATTCGTTTTCAACTCGAGCATATACACAGCGGTAGCCAACGCACTGACTAGCAGCTTGCACAGGGCAGAATATCACAGTATTCGGGCATGAGAGTGAGTAACTACCAAAACTGAGGCACGGGGCAACACTGGCAGACTGCTGTCAAACCCACCCAAGTGAAATCTTGCAATACAATGCTCACATCATTCTGGACACAATGCCTCTGGATCACACTTGGTTACTGGCTTGAAGTACGGGGCTCACCGCCATGGTCACCGTCACTCAGCCAGCGCTTGAGTCAGGGCTACACCAGACGACCAGGCCTGTGACCTCGCCTTTTAACGTCACCACGCTGAGTGCCTGAGCGCGCCTGCCCCGGGAGACTGGCACCACCAGCGACACTGCAACACCGGCCTCACAGCGCCGTGTCCATCCGCTGCTCCTCGTCCTCCTCCTCCTGTTCCTCCTCCTGTCTGTCGCCTGGTCCGGCGTCCGTCGCAGTGCGGTCTTGCGCCTCGTCGCTGTGACGCCGCGGGGGGTCGCCCGAAAGGACAGCCTCCTTGCTGCCGAAAGCCTCAGGATTTCTCACAGGCGCGCCCACCTCGTCCACTCTTGACCCCGCTCGCTCAACCGCATCCTCCTCATCCGCTGCTTCTTCGGCGGCTGCATCCGCCCCGTCGGCCAGCTCGGCGGCCAGGTTGAAGTTCTGCCGTTTCCTGCCGCTCGCCGGTCCGATGGCCCAGTTCTTCTCGCCGTCAGCGACGATGCTTCCGCCGCTGCTGCCGCCGCCGGTGCCGGCCATCGGCAGCATGTCCAAGTCGGCCTCCGCCCCGTTCTCCAGCGGCGGCAGCAGCTCGGCGGCGCGCACGTGCAGCGCCAGCAGCGCCTCGCGCAGCTCCTCGGCCTCGGCTGAGCCGGCATGCTCCTCCAGCAGCGTGCACAGGTTGAGGCCGTGGTCGGCGTAGGCGAGCGCCGACTCCAAGCTTCCGTGGTCAAGCAAGCGCGTCGCCATCGCCGTGAAGTGGCGGATGAACATGGCCAGCACCAGCTGCGCGCGCGGCAGGAAGCCTTCGTTGAGCCAGTGCAGCTGCACGGCGGCGTTGGCGAAGTCGGGCAGCACGCGGCGCTGCGGCACCCGGGATCGACGCCGCGCCTCCGCCGCCGCCTGCAAACGCTCATGCTGCTGCTGTTGCTGTTTCCGCCGCCGCTGCGCCTGCTTCTGCCGCTTGGACTGCACCCACATGGTGTCCTCGTCGCTGTCGTCGGCCTGGCTCTGCTCCGGGCCGAACGCGAGCGAGTCCGACACCTGGTGGCGGTAGCGTGAAGTTAGGAAGACATCACGACTGACACTACGCATCATTCCGTGACGTAGCGCATCAAGCTGCGCAGCGACCGAAAGGCCCCGATACAGCACTTGGAATGATTCGAAGGCAGCGTTTTTCCACAGATAGCGCACACCAGCTGGGTAATTCAGGGAAGGGCAGTGTCGGTTGCGAACCCACCTCATTCGTGGCGCGCCGCAGCTCGGGCACCAGCTCCACCATCAGCTCCGTCTGCGAGGCCTGTAGGTAGTGGTAGAGCTGCGCCCAGTCGAACTCGGGGAACGCGTCGTCACGCACCTTGAGCCGCGCCAGCAGGATGAGCAGGTTCGGCACGGGGTTCTCCATGGCGCGCTGGATCCGCTCCTGCGCGCTGAGCAGGCTCGACGGCGACTCGACCTCGAAGAGGTTGCGGTTGGAGACGAAGTAGTGCAGCAGCCGGCGCTCTCTGACGCAGCGGCCCAGCGAGCTGAGCAGCTCGATCAGCGGCGAGCCCAGCGCCTCCAGCCGCCAGTCGCGAAAGTTGCGCTCGAACTGCCAGAACATGAGGTGGCGGATGTGGCGCTCCTGCACGCAGCCGAACTCGGCCAGGAAGTGCGTGAAGAATAGCTTCGCCACGGCCCAACAGTGCACGTGCACCGCCTCCAGCGAGCTGATGAGCCGCATCTCCGCCTGCTGGAAGCACATCTCCCACTCGACGGCCATGGTCTCCGGACGGAATTGTCGCTCTGCGCGCAGCTGCTCTGGCACGAAGCAGCCTTGCGGCACCAGGTTGCAGCCGACTTCCTCCCGGATCTCCTGCACGATACGAGGCGGCGGCCACACGAAGCGTATGCGCCGCTGCTTGTCTAGCTTGAGCGGCCGCTCGCGCAGCGCCCAGCGGAGTGCCGCCTCCGGCCACGAGGACATAAGGAGCGTGGGGGTGACGCGCGCGGTGGTTCCCAGGCCCGAGCGCAGCGCCTCCTGGCAGAAGACGGTCGGGCCACGCAGAAAGTTGCCTCTGGCCTGCTGCACCCACTTGTCGCGCGCCATGAGCCGCGCCAGGTCGCCAAAGCGCTCGGCGAAGTGGTTGATGAAGATCTCCGACGAGAGGTAGCGGTGCACCTCGGAGCGCGGCTCGCCCCAGCCGTCGTAGTCGTCGTCATCGATGCGCACGTTGAACTTGCGGAAGCAGTGGCGCGGGATATAGCCGGGCGTCTCGGCATCGTCGTCGGTCGTGCAGTCTTGCACGGCGCGGAACGAGGTGACGCTGCTGGCGCACGATCCGGCCGTCTCGTCGTCGCACACCGAGCCGACCTCCGGATGCAGGATGTCGCTCAGGCTCCGCTCGCGGCTCGGGTCCGGCCCGAAAATGTCGCGCGCGACGGAGCCACGCCGCCGCCGCCGCCGGCCTACCGCGCCGCGCGCCGGCGACGGCGGCTTCAACAGCGCGTCGTTCGACCGATACTGCCCGTGCACCTCACCGGCCGTCTCAGCCCCGCTCGCCCCGTCGCCTGGCGGCCGTTCTTCGAACTGGCTTGGGAACAGCGGCGCCATCTGTGGCGCCCGCGGTGTGCCGATCTCCGGGCTTTGCGGGACGACATAGGGGTACGGTATTGGCGCAGCCGCGTACGGGTGGACGGCCCCAGGGTAAACGTTCGGGCTCGGGACTTGAGGCACCGGCACGTACACGTGGTACAGGAAAGGCCCTGGGAACGCCTGGTTGCCATGCGAGTCGTTGGGGGTAAACACGCGGGGGTACATGGGGTAGGCGAATTCTCCGGGCTGTCCCGGGAGTGGCGTAGGATACGGGGTGGGGTACGGAGTGGGATACAGGCTGGGATACGGAGTGGGATACAGGCTGGGATACGGGGTGGGACGGGTGTCTGAAGCCGGCTCGGAGCTCCGCTCCATCCCCGCTGCGCTGCCGGCGGCTTTCGAGTCTAGTTTGTCTTCACCGGGCTTTCGTGGCTTTTGCTTTTTCTTCGGACCCTTTCCAGATTTCGAAATTACCTTTGACACCTGCAGCACAAAACAAAGAGATTATATTCAGGCAGTTTGCAGTCCCTTCATGCTGATTCTGGCTCCCGATCAACATGGGAATCTATTTCACTGCTATCGATGCGAGAGAATGGAACAACAAATGACCACATTCGGTTAAAAAAAATACAGATTGTCATCGCTATCGACGGCTCAAAACAAGTGCTGTGAAGAATTCCAGTACGTATACAGGTGACGGAGAGGTCTGTAAAAATAACATCAAGGTCCAGGAGCTATCTGTTGGTGACCGAAGGCTGCTTAAGCAGCATTGCGCCTGGACAGCCCTCGCGCTGACCTTGTCGTCCTCGGTGTCGGCCTGTGGACTGCTGGAGTCGCGCTGAGCCGAGGACGGCAGACTCGAGTCGCTGTCGTCCGGACTGCGCTCGCCCCCAGCGGCCGGGCCCGCCAGCTCGTTCCAGCGCGGGCCTCGCTCGCCCGCCGGTCCCGCGGCCGGCGGACCGGGCTGGTCCCGTCGCTCCAACCGCGAGTCAGGCCTCTGCTGCGTCGGCTCCGGTCCCACCAGACCGGGCCCACCCGGGTTCGCCGAGCGGGACCGGCGCCGCCCGTCTCTGTCCTCGTTGCGGGACCTCGTCCCGCCGTCACGGTCCCCCGAGAAAGACCGCTCCGACGGGCGGCGGTCCTCGGCGCCGGACGGCCGGACGCCGCTGCCGATCCGCGCGCCCCCCGGCGGCCTGCTGGAGCTCCACTGACCGCTGCGCCCTGGTCGGCACACGGCGTGCGGAGCCTCCGTGTTGCCCGTCTGCTGTAGGCGGCCATACCCTGCGGCGGGGCAGCAGCAACAGCGGTCACGGACACAGGTCACCGGTCACCGGTCACCGGTCAGGTCATCCTCGGTCAACAGTCAAGTCATCCTCAGTCACCAGTCAGGTCATCCTAGCTCACAGGTAAGGTCGTCTTAGGGCATCAGTCAAGTCATCCCAGGTGACCGGTCAGGTCATCCTCGGTCACCAGTCAGGTCATCCTAGCTCACAGGTATGGTCGTCTTAGGGCATCAGTCAAGTCATCCCAAGTGACCGGTCAGGTCATCCTCGGTCACCAGTCAGGTCATCCTAGCTCACAGGTAAGGTCGCCTTAGGGCATCAGTCAAGTCATCCCAGGTCACCGGCCAGGTCAACGGTCATGACCGCAGGTCAGAGACAATCACCGAAAAATACGATCGCACTGAGAGTTCCCGCCCATGAAGCAGCTTGATAGCAAAGCAGTCGACGTGATAGTCGAACGGATATGTGCGTCAACAACGTCAACACCAACAACAACTTCGCCAACGAGTGTGTCTTACAGTACGCACACGTTGGCGAAGCAAAGCCGGGTTGTCTTCCGCCACTAACCCGGTGTTCTAGCTTTCTAATAAAGGAGGCAACATGTTCCTCTGCGCATAGATCGCCAGCGCTAACAATAAAAACGCCCGCTGAAGCCTTAAATGATGCCCCACTTGTCCTGTGCAGAAACGGTACCACACTGCGCGAGGGATCGCGGCGCGATCTCGCTTACAGCGAAGCGGAGCCTGTCGCGCCAGGAGTGCGTACCTGGGTTTCGACCGGGCTGCATGAGAAACTTGTAGGTCACACCACCCCGCTCGTCCTCCGGGTCAAACTTGGAGCGCACCGAGATGTTGTCGTGCACGATTAGGTACTCGAGGTCGTGACCCAGCTCGGGGCTGGACTCAGCCGACTTCTGGTAATGCATCACCTCCCCCATCAGCTGCGGACGCCGCGGTGGCGATCAGAGGTGGCGGTCAGAGGTGGTGGCCAGAGGTCAGAGGTGGCGGTCAGAGGTCAGAGGTGGTGGTCAGAGGTCAGAGGCAGCGGTCAGAGGTCAGAGGCGGAGGGGATCGGCGGTGCAGGATGCTTGTGATAGGTCATTCTCATGTTGGTCCCATTCACTCATTCGGTTAGAGCGCCTAATTTCCACCGATCCGCCCACCCGTGGCAGGATGGATTCGAGTCGCTTTAGGCGCTCGTAATTTGACCTTGACAGGTGTGGCCTGCGGCCGGTGACAGCGTTCGCGCTGAAGGTCAGGTGACACCAGAGGGCAGGACGGACCGTGCCGAACATTGGGATATGCTAAACTTCCGGCACAAAATCCTGTCTTTGGCCTGGAGTTACACAATCGGATGGTATGGGTCAAGGCTCACGCAACAAGCAATGCTTAGAGCGAGCTCTGATCCCATAAATCCATCCATTCAAAATGTTCGGACATTCAATCGTTAAAAATTGAGTCGTTAGTTGTGTAGACGGGGCGATAAGCTTAGCTGACGAAATCCACCGCAGCAGTGCTCAGCTGCTGATAGATTTTGTGAACTGACTGACCCTCTCTGATTTATTGGGGCACTGTTGATGCTGTGAAGCATATGCTAGAGCTTTCTCGAGCCACTTGGTATGAATGTAGAAGGCTAACGTAAGTGATAACCAACGAGTGCTATTTTTTTTAAAAATCGTACATCGTACTTGTCCATACACCAAGTGCGCACTAAGTCGACGGCGAAAGTGAAGAGATGATCCTTCGTTCTTTCCAGTGGCAGAACATGTTGCGTTGTTGACATATTTGGAGAAAGACGCGCAAACGACACCGAAAACACGCTCAGTCCTCGTCGGCTTCTCCATGATCGCGAGCACACCAAGAAATGGTAAGTAAAGCTTACCTCGTACGGCGATCCGAGGTACACGGCCGACTTATGGTCCTTGCAGAGGATCTTGTTGAGTTCCGCCTCCTTCTCCTCCTTCAATTGGTACACGCGTATTCGATCTCTGTGGAGAACAATACCAGATTCAGACACACGTAATGTAAGTTACCTAGAACACTGTCTCATTTTTACACGAATGAATATTCCCCGTGAGCTTGTTTTTGAGGATGGTAGTAACCGTCCTTTGTCCCAAAATATTTCAGAGCGTGTATTTGTTTCCACTTGACATGTTTGATAGCCGGTTTCCCTAGCCAGGTCCCATTAATGCAACATTAGCCCTATGCGTGGATGACGTTTCACGAGAAAACACGAAATAAGAACTATTAGAGCTGCACATCACTTTTCGTCCTTCCTTTCCATCTCCGGAAACTTAGGAATATGTCTCAGTAATTCTGATGGATTTTGGTTTTTGGTTTTGACTGAAGGGTTTTTCTGCCAATGAGTCAATACCATACACAGCACAAATACAACACTCTCAGCGCGTCAGATATCCAGGGCCTACGTCAGCCTCCCTTCCTTCAGCCGGGCCTGAGCCTTTCTCCTGCAGTCAGTCGCGTGTCTGGCATCCTGGTATCAGCCACCCTGATATGAGCTGTGTGACGTGCGCCGTGAAATATGACATAGCCACTCAGGCGTCGTCTCGTTGCCGGGCAGATTGAGTACTCTGCACCCCAAATCACACCCACCAGGTGCACACTGAAAAGGAACGGTTCTGCAGAACTGTGACCACGTGTTTGGCTACGCCTGTGCGTGTTCGAAGATGAGCGTGAATGTATCTTCGTAAGAGTGCGCGCCGTGATCGGACAAAATGTTACATTTTGCAATTTCTAGTTCACTGAAATGAATGCAGGCTTGTGCAAATTGATCATGTCCCTCCTATGATTCCGAACTATCAAAAATGCTTCACTACCTCTGGAAATCATTTCTCTGCAGTGCTCGACGATCTACAGTAAGCTAATTGTTTATGTTGTAAGTGGTCGACAGCTAGTTCCTGCCGGACAGAACTTTGGAAACTTATCAGCCACGCACACGTTGTCGCTCTCGGAAAGGAAATTTACGGCTTCGATGATAATGCCATCTGTAGAATGCCGCTATCAACATAAGCGCACACTCACACCAGCTCCGCAAATTGGCAAGTTATAAATCAGTGTGTCATAATGGTCCCAATCGGGCAATCGCGCGCGCACTGGCGCTGTGTTGCTGTTTGCGGAGGACGCGGGCAGCCAGGAATCGCCGGTATCGGTAGGAGGAAGAAGTGTCACGTCCCGTGCTGAATGACGCTGTCGACGGCACGACAAAGCTCCCGAGGGTGAATCAAACGTATTCTTAGCAGCTTTCATTTCGACCTTTCGCCCAGAAGAGATCGAAAGATCTTTCCTGGCCGGCCCGTTGTCATGGACAACATTATGCGGCAAGACATCGTGCGGAACGTTATGAGCGCACGTTGTGAGCCAGTATTGCGCAATGACCAAGATTCGTTTCCCATCTCAGCTCATTCGAGGAAAATCTCAGAACAATGTAAAATTTTGTCTCGCGTGCATTTGTACCGCCTACATGAAAGTTGAGCGACGAGTGGATGGGTGGATGAGTGAGCAAATCGCTTTGAAATGGAAGACATCGGCGATCACACCTGGTGAACTGGCGGATGACCAGACACGATCACTTCTGGTGCCAATCATCTGGTTTCAAGGGACCGATGGAGCAATAACTGAGTGAGCAAAGGTTCGATGGAAGCGCCTTCAGTCGCGTGATATGCTGATAGCGGCGCGGCATACCCTTCCCATTACGGGGACCAGCGGGCCAGGCGGCTATGACACTTCAGCGACAGACCTTTGATTAACCACGTCACAGGTACTCCAATTGCCGTTTTCATCGCACGTCTTCCGCTGGGGAGTGGCCGGAGGGGTATACAGCCGGGAGCGGACCTCGAGACCACAGCCTCTCGGTCAGGGCACGGGTACTCGTCCGCCGCCGCGAGGGCTCCACACGTTGGACAAATCAGCACGCGCGAGGACCTTA